ACTGCTACGTGCAGTGTACTGAAGCTGAACTTATTACACCCTATTCACTCATTCAATAGTTGAATAGTTCACTGTTACGTGCAGTGTACTGAAGCTGAACTAATTACACCCTATTCACTCATTCAGTAGTTGAATAGTAAATTCTGTTACGTGCAGCGCACAGAAGCTGAACTAATTACACCCTATTCACTCATTCAATAGTTGAATAGTAAACTGTTACGTGCAGCGCACAGAAGCTGAACTAATTACACCCTATTCACTCATTCAATAGTTGAATAGTACACTGTTACGTGCAGAGCACTGAAGCTGAACTAATTACACCTCATTCACTCATTCAATAGTTGAATTGCACACTGTTACGTGCAGTGTACTAAAGCTGAACTAATTACACCCTATTCACTCATTCAATAGTTGAATAGTACACTGTTACATGCAGTGTACTTAAGCTGACCTAATTACACCCTATTCACTCGTTCAATAGTTGAATAGTACACTGTTACGTGTAGTGCACTGAAACCGAACTAATTATACCCTATTCACTCATTCAATAGTTGAATAGTACACTGTTACGTGCAGTGCACTGAAGCGGAACTAATTGCACCCTATTCATTCATTCAATAATTGAATAGTACACTGTTTCGTGTAGTGCACTGAAGCGGAACTAATTGCACCCTATTCACTCATTTAATAATTGAATAGTACAATGTTACGTGCAATGCACTGAAGCTGAACTAATTGCACCCTATTCACTCATTCAAAAGTTGAATAGTACACTGTTACGTATAGTGGACTAAAGCTGAACTAATTACACCAAATTCACTCATTCAATATTTGAATAGTACACTGTTACTTGCAGTGTACTAAAGCTGAATTAATTACACCCTATTTACTCATTCAATAGTTTAATAGTACACTGTTACGTGCAATGCACTGAAGCTGAACTAATTAAACCCTATTCATGCATCAAAGAGTTGAATAGTACACTGATACGTGCAGTGCACTGAAGCTGAACTAATTAAACCTTATTCACTCATTCAATAGTTGAATAGTAATCTCTTACATGCAATGCACTAAAGCTGAACTAATTACACCCTATTCACTCATTCAATAGTTGAATAGTACACTGTTTCGTGCAGTGTACTGAAGCTGAACTAATTAAACCCTATTCACTCATTCAATAGTTGAATAATACACTGTTACGTGAAGCACACATAAGCTGAACTAATTACACCCTCTTTATTCATTCAAATATTGAATAGTAAAATGTTACATGTAGTGTACTGAAGCTGGACTAATTACACCCTATTCACTGATTTAGTAGTTGAATAGTACACTGTTACGTGCAGTGCACTGAAGTTGAACTAATTACACCCTATTCACTCATTCAATAGTTGAATACTGCATTGTTACTTGCAGTGTACTGAAGCTGAACTAATTATACCTCATTCACTCATTCAATAGTTGAATAGTACAGTTACGTGCAGTGTACTGAAGCTGAACTAATTACACCCTATACACTCATTCAATAGTTGAATACTACATTGTTTCTTGCAGTGTACTGAAGCTGAACTAATTACACCCAATTCACTCATTCAATAGTTGAATAGTAGACTGTTACGTGCAGTGTACTGAAGCTGAACTTATTACACCCTATTCACTCATTCAATAGTTGAATAGTTCACTGTTACGTGCAGTGTACTGAAGCTGAACTAATTACACCCTATTCACTCATTCAGTAGTTGAATAGTAAATTCTGTTACGTGCAACGCACAGAAGCTGAACTAATTACACCCTATTCACTCATTCAATAGTTGAATAGTAAACTGTTACGTGCAGCGCACAGAAGCTGAACTAATTACACCCTATTCACTCATTCAATAGTTGAATAGTACACTGTTACGTGCAGAGCACTGAAGCTGAACTAATTACACCTCATTCACTCATTCAATAGTTGAATTGCACACTGTTACGTGCAGTGTACTAAAGCTGAACTAATTACACCCTATTCACTCATTCAATAGTTGAATAGTACACTGTTACATGCAGTGTACTGAAGCTGAACTAATTACACCCTATTCACTCATTCAATAGTTGAATACTACACTGTTACATGCAGTGTACTAAAGCTGAACTAATTACACAAGTACACTGTTTAGTGCAGTGTACTGAAGCTGAACTAATTACACCCTTTTCACTCATTCAACAATTTTCACTTAAGTGGTCAATAACGCAGATGCGAGTAGGTAGTTACCAGTTTCGCCACCAGGTGGCTCGTTCGGGTCAGATAACATGGCGGGTATAGTAGAAAGTTCCCTTTAACTTAAATAACATCTGTTTTAGTGGTTCAATTTTTATATTACCCTTATGTATCTAATAGTTATGCAAATTAAAATATGTCCAGTAAAAGAAAATGTTATATGTCCAATACAAGAAAAGATATTTAACTTTTTGTGATTTTGTAACATGGGGTCTATGAGGAATCAACCCGAGCTAGAAGTCATATTTTCAAAAAAAATTAAATTTTCAAATTTGATAAACAATTTTCGAAACCATATTTCTAGACGTAGTTTCACATGTAGATTTCAAATATGACATCACTTTGACTGGATTTTGAATATTTAATGACGCAAATCAAGATTGTTTCTATTCGCATCTAGTCAATTCAAAAGAAATCAAGTTTTCCTAAAATTCGATCATAGTCTAGTCTATGTGGGGTTAATTTAGATAAATTAAACCATTCATATCAGGTCTTAGGAGAATTAATAGCCTCGGTCTAGAGACCTCGGTTATTATCCCTCCTTAAACCAAATACTCATAGTTTATCCTTTGGCATACATGTAATGGGAGCCAGGACTTGTATAGATGGCAGGTACTATCGGGTTGTTCTTCAGATCTGGCCCACTGGTTAGTGTGTAAACATTGCTGTTTAAAAACTTCAAATTCATTATATATATATCAAATGAATATCATATTTTCCTTCATCATTACTTACGAACATGTTTAAAGGTTTAGGATATTTTCAATAGAATTTATCTTTGTAGATTTTTGGAGCAATTGATTTTTCGCCATCCATTGACAGTCCTGAAGGCCACTGGTAATTACTCTCCTTACTTGAGAATCTCTCAAATCTCAGCCTGTCGATATTTTCAAAGAATTTCAGCGAAATACAGCAAAACATGTTGGCATCTGTAGGAATGAATGTCCATTGCACTGGTGGATTAGGGGGAGATGGCCTTTTTAAGCACAGCTGGACCTGGTTTTAGAGATATATATCAAGAAAGTTTTTTTTTCAGACATAAAATTTGCCCCCCCCCCCACCCCTTGTTAGGTGTTGTTTTCCTATAATAATCGTTCTTTATACTTATGTTATACTTTAAAATATGACAAAACAATGTAACAGTGCTGGGACCTGTGATTTATGGCCTGGATGTTGAGCTTTGATTGACAAAGCATTTGTTCAATGCGATTGTAGTTGAAGGTCTCTAATTTGTGAGGCTAATATTAAACCTATGTGTGAAACAGATCTCATGGGTAAATACTTACTTGTATAATATCTAACATATTTTACGTTCTCAAGTAGCAACAACATTTTGTTTGTAATATATTTTAACAAGTAATATATTGCATCACATTTATGCTACAATAGTATAAATCATTTATGGTACAAATTATTTATGTTACAAATTATGGTACAGCTGTATATTGCACAGACCCTTAAATGCACATTTTCTTTATATGCACAGTTCATAATATATGATATATATGGTAATTTACATGTAATATAACACATTCATAATACATGTAATATGCCCATTTGCCTATGTTATCATTTTAGTAATATGTACATCTAAAACATGTTACATCTTCTCTATAGCATCCTCTATTACTTATGCATATTTCTTTAATCAATTATAACTTTAATCATTTTATATAGTCACCTTCCCTCTTCCTTGGGAAGTTTCATCAGGACCCAATACATCCCAGTTACTTCATAATGATTGACACCTACAATGCCCTTACACACTTTGGCTATGTTGGTGCCACTAGTTAAATAATGGCAATATACAATCACATCATAACAAAATGTCACCACACAGTTGCATTCTATATTTGAGAAAGTCAAAACTTAATTGATTGTCATGACAACACATAATTCCTAGAAATGTTACATATAGTCTTATAGTTAATTGCCATGGTAACATATTCTGTAAAGCCTCTATGTGTCTTAATCATATTTTTCAATTTTTGCATGGTAGGCTAACACACAATGCCATTACACGTAGACCATATAATGTTTAGGTGTCCTTCATTCCTTGTATCTTTTCAAGTCAATCTGACTGTCACTTGTCAAATTATCACTCGATGACACTTTATTCAATGAAACTATTATCTAGCTAGTTGTTCATTTCTTTTATGTTGTGACATTAGCATGTATTTCAAATATTATACCATATGCCTAATTTCAAACAGTTAGTTATAGTTATGTACCTTTTGTACTTTCACAATACTGACCTTATCTAAAGTCTACTTACATCTTAGTACATAGCCTAAAGGGATTGGAAAAGCCTATGCTAACCCCTTTCCTAATTTAGTTCTCAGTATTGTTACATACTTGTTTGAATGAGTAAAGATGCTTTATGTGTTTTGTTGATATATGAAATAGAAATACAATAGTTTGAAAACCTTTTCATAGCTTTTAGATAATTTTGCACAGCAGTAAACACAAAGACCTATACATAATAGACTAAAAGTTGTTGTTCACATTCCACAAGATTTTAATGTTATTTTTGCAGATGTGAAAAAAGTATGTGAGAATGTGATAGAACTATGTGAGAATGTGATAGCATTATGTGAGAATGTGATAAAACTATGTGAGAATATGATAGCATTATGTGAGAATGTGATAAAATTATGTGAGAATGTGATAGCATTATGTGAGAATGTGATAGCATTATGTGAGAATGTGATAGCATTATGTGAGAATGTGATAGCATTATGTGAGAATGTGATAGCATTTTGTGAGAATGTGATGGAATTATGTGAGAATGTGATAGCATTATAAGAACTACAATCCTCAATAACAATTATCTTTGGTGTATCTATATGCATAATATAACAATATATATAACTTATATGCTATCTTCAACCTCACCTATTTTCTAAACATTCATTGGAAATATGTTGAAGATAAAACAATTGTTTTTCAAGAATCAGAAAGATGTTACAGATACATGTAAAGAGTAATATTTGTGATCTACTCTTATATACCTTCAATCTATCTACATAAAGTAAAGGTATACATTGGAGATATCTCATAATTTTCCCATTTGGCCTGCTATTTTGGATTTCCTGACCTTGGCATGAATCAGACAACTGTAATATTTCCAATATGCTCATTCATTACTAAATACCTGAGAGACTCCACTGACAGACAAAATGATGCTCTTACTAAATAGCTATTAAACTTTGGAAAATGACATTCACTTTCTGAAATTCCATTTATCGTCAAACCAAAATATGAGAAGCTATAACCAGTGTTCGTTGTTTCTTCATCAGTCAGGTTTACCATACACTGTTTATGTACAGTATATTCACTCTGCTATACTTTATATTTGCTCTCTGACCCATTGGCGTAAAGTAGGACAAATGTTCTATTATCTATCCAAACGAGACGTGCCAGTTTGAGAATGTTTATGGAGGAGCCAGCTTCAAGTGGTGGTGCATTGAATGTCTTGACACACTTAGTCTGCTGGGAGCCTATATTGAACAGTGATGTTGATGCAGTCTGGAATACAAAAATGTATAGAACTTTATGTTTGAGCTTGAAATAAATCACTTATCTCAAATGATAGTCACACATTAATAAGCAGGAAAACAGGAGCACATATTTCTCCAGATAATGTGTATTCTAACATTCATCACCCATTCATTATTCATGACATATTGAGTCACCGCTACTCCAAATGATGTTAATAGACATATACAGTTCAGATGTATCAAAGCAACGAGTCAGACTGATATTGTCATTTCAATCTTCAATATGTCATGTCAACATTCCTTGAGAAAGTTTATAGTTTATTCATACCTGCCAAACACAAAGTTTGCCATCAGCATGAGAGTATGACGTCAGATATTTGCCCTCGGGAGAAAAGCAAAGAGCAGTAACTGCACCCCCATGGCCAACCAATACCTAAAAAACAAACTATTTTATTCCAACCTTTTAAACTTTCATCAAATGAACTTATTATAATGTAATAATTTTGATAATAAAAGTGTAGCATTTCATTATACTATTAATCAATTGAACCCAAAATATATGTGCTCTTATTTTCTATGTCAATTGAGCAGATTATTTTTCTAATTTTGCAAGAGGGTCCAATAATTTGGGGACATGATTTACATTGCAAATACAATATTGCCAAAGCCAAAGCACTTTTTAAAGAACTTCAATCAAATTGCAATAAAACACTTTTACTCTGTATGTACCTATGTCACAGGGTCTACATAAATAATCTTAATAAACCAAACTATAAAATACATGAAAGTGGAACCATACCTGGCACTTGGATTGTTTTAAGTCATAGAAAGCAAGTCCGCCATTCTTAGCTCCAACACATATTCTCCTGTTAGATGCACAATAGCTTACCATGCTGAACCTGGAGAGTGAAACATTACATAATAATGACACCATGTGGGCCTTGCCTATATGGCTATGCAGTTTTTATAATAGAAGATGACCCAGACACAACTGTTAATGTCCTTTGTAGGTGTTTAGTTGATAGATGTACCAGTATGCTTGTCTCTGCTTTAAGTTCTGGTGTAAAAACATTTAATAACTCTCATGCTACCTTGAAGTATTTATTCATATATATCCTATAGGAAAATCCAAACAACTACTAAATAAAAAAATTATTTCTAAGTAAGTATTAGTACCTGCATATTTGTGGGAAGACTTCCTGGAGTCCCTTCTGTTTGATCTGATTGTGGTCCATACTGTGAACGGACACATCCATTACCTGAAACACATACACATACTATGAACTGACACATCCATTACCTGAAATACATACACATACTATGAACTGACACATCCATAACCTGAAATACATACACATATATGGTACACTAAGGGAAATTGAATCACAATAGACAAACAAATCACCTCAAGAATTTGATTCTTTCATTTACTTGTACAATGTACAATTCCTCTAACGATGGTTATTGTTCACCTTACTCTGCTATGATTATAATGTTATAAGATGTCATACCTCAACAAGAAGATCAACAACATCGTTGGGAATCTTGTCCACCAGAAGTTCGATTACTCTGAGTATTTCAGATTTGGCCCTCACTAAAACTGAGTTGGTTTGTACATGTTGTGACTGGGCATTCTGGACTAAAGCATTATGCCTGAAATGTGTAAAAATGGGAAAAAAGAAGTAGGTAGCGAGATACCTAACATTCCTAGCAGAGTTATCAAATTTTAAATGCTTTCTATCCAATGAAAGTTGAAAGAAAACATATGTAATATTGTTCCATTTTAACATGATAAAAGAGTGTGTGAAACAAATTCTGAAACTTCTATAATACTTTGTGAATGTCTAGTGGTGATGACAAGATTGATGACACTACTCAGAATTGATGGTCAGTTATTGCTTCTTACTACTGTCTTAAAGGCTAAGATGGGTGTACTTTTAAAGAGTGAAAGAGAGAGGTCTGTAAAATGATTGGAAACTGTTCAATCAAAATATATATACTGTAATGATTAGTAATAAAGAAAAAATGCAACAAATAATTACCTTGCGACCTCTTTTGCCATGGTGATTATGAATGCTGGGGGCCTTGCAGTTGCTATGAGGGAGAGGGCATGACGTGCAGTTCTACATGCATCTGCCTGGGGGCTGAGGGGAAGTCCAAATGTCATGCTGCAACATCAACATAATAATCATTCAGACATTTTGAACTGAGAAATCAATACATACAGACTTTTTCCATTTTTGAATGCTATGTTCAAAGTATCTTGTGAAGATACTTAATACATATTACACCAACCAACCAAGTTTCCTCAAAAGCATTTTAATTTAGTAAGGAGTCCTTACTTACTGTGAGATAAATGCAGGTAAAGCTAATGAAGGTTAATCTTACAATCCATTGATCAAAATATGTCAACAATGAATACACATATGTTTACTTAAAGGCAGAATCAGATCTACAGGGGTGACAAAATTACAAGCAATATGTACAATTGATCTACCAATCTATTCCTTACAAGCTCAAATATAATATCTCCCAAAAGATCCATGATATGTTATCAATTGGTGAAGTTATTTAAGATTCAAAGTACAAAAAATGGGGGAAAAATATTTAAATTCTCCCAAATAATAACATTTGTAACCATTAACCATAATCATTCTATTTTGACAAATGATTGCATTATTGTAAAAATCTTTAGTTTTCTTCAAATAAAGTATATACTGGGAGTATTTTTAGAAAATAGACATGACAAGGAATGATGTGAGCCCAAAATATTCTAAAATTGAAACAATTTTCATCTGAAGATGAAGCACCAAAGTAACCAAAGTAATTGCTAGATTTGATTCTGCCTTTAATCCTTTTAGAAAATGGCTCCTACACCGAAACTAAGAATACAGTATAATGCTACATTTAATACAGGATTTATTAAGCAGAAAATCCCATTCACTGGTGAATATTGGGATGGGATGATTCAGAGAAGAATGAGTTTAAACATCTGACAAACTGTTCCCTCCACACTGATGAGAATAACAATTAAGGTATTGTAAAATATACCCAATACATGTACTAAATAAAGGGATCTGGGAGTGAAAAAATATCTGGGGACCCCTATTATAAAATGTGGTAATAATGAATGAAAATTTGCAAAATCTTAGTTAGCTATTTTAATGTTTATTTGGACATAATACATGTGGTCACACACTGCATTCACTAGAATGGCACATAACATATGCTGGCACATCTGGGATGGAACATAACATATATGGTGGCACATCTGGGATGGCACATTACATATATGGTGGCACATCTGGAATAGCACACAAAATATATGGTGGCACACAAAGTATATGGTGGCACATCTGGGATGGCACATAACATATATGTTGGCACATCTGGGATGGCACATAACATATATAGTGGCACATCTGAGATAGCACACAAAATATATGGTGGCACATCTGGGATGGCACACAAAGTATATGGTGGCACATCTGGGATGGCACATAACATATATGGTGGCACATCTGGGATAGCACACAAAATATATGGTGGCACATCTGGGATGGCACACAAAGTATATGGTGGCACATCTGGGATGGCACATAACATATATGGTGGCACATCTGGGATAGCACACAAAATATATGGTGGCACATCTGGGATGGCACACAAAGTATATGGTGGCAGTTTTGGACATGGCATATGAGGAGGCACATCTAGGATAGCAAACAACATATATGATGGAAAATCTGGGATTGCATGCAAGATATTTTGTGGCACATCTGGGCTAGCACATATATATAGTACCACTTCAAATATATGATGGTACATATGTGATCAAAATATATGGTCACAAATCTGGGATGAGAAACAACATATATGGTATCACATCTGAGATGGCACACTGCATACATGGTGGCACATCTGGTATAGCACACGGCATATATGGTGGCACATCTGGTATAGCACACAATATATATCTGGGATAGCACACAACATATATGGTTGCACATCTGAGATGGCGCACAGCATACATGGTGGCACATCTGGTATAGCACACGGCATATACGGTGGCACATCTGGTATAGCACACAATATATATCTGGGATAGCACACAACATATATGGTTGCACATCTGAGATGGCGCACAGCATACATGGTGGCACATCTGGTATAGCACACGGCATATATGGTGGCACATCTGGTATAGCACACAATATATATCTGGGATAGCACACAACATATATGGTTGCACATCTGAGATGGCGCACAGCATACATGGTGGCACATCTGGTATAGCACACGGCATATATGGTGGCACATCTGGTATAGCACACAATATATATCTGGGATAGCACACAACATATATGGTAGCACATCTGAGATGACACACAGCATATATGGTGACACATCTGGAAGTCCCTCAACATACATGGTGACACATCTGGTATAGCACACAACATATATGGTGACCCATCTGGGATAGCAAATAACTAATATGGTGGCACATCTGGATGTCCCGCAACATACATGGTGACACATCTGGTATTGCATACAACACATATGGTGACCCATCTGGGATAGCAAATAACTTATATGGTGGCACATCTGGATGTCCCGCAACATACATGGTGACACATCTGGTATTGCATACAACACATATGGTAGCATCTGGGATACCACACAATATATATGGTGGCACATCTGGGATAGCACTCAATATACGCTCGAATATGCAAGCACATCTGTGATAACACACAACACATATGGTAGCATCTGGAATGCCATACATGGTGGCACATCTTTGATAGCACACAATATATATGGTAGCACATCTGGGATAGCACACAACATATATGGTAGCACATCTGGGATAGGAGACAACATATATGGTAGCACATCTGGGATAGCACACAACAGATATGGTAGCACATCTGGGATAGCACACAGCATATATGGTAGCACATCTGGGATAGCACACAACAGATATGGTAGCACATCTGGGATAGCACACAACATTTATGGTAGCACAACTGGGATAGCACACAACATATATGGTAGCACATCTGGGATAGCACACAACATATATGGTAGCACATCTGGGATAGCACACAACATATATGGTAGCACATCTAGGATAGCACACAACATATATGGTAGCACATCTGGGATAGCACACAACATATATGGTAGCACATCTGGGATAGCACACAACATATATGGTAGCACATCTAGGATAGCACACAACATATATGGTAGCACATCTGGGATAGCACACAACATATATGGTAGCACATCTGGGATAGCACACAACATATATGGTGGCACCTGTGGTTTCAAACATGTATAACAATATAATTACAATGGAGTGGTACACAAGACCTTAAATGTATAACTAGACAATTTGAGTACAAGATATATTTTTGCCTCTATATATTTTGGTCACCTCAGGGTTTATTAAATCAATAAAGAGTGTTCTTATTATACATGTTGCTTACAAATATGAGAACAAGATACAAGAGATGGGTTCAACACACCACACCAGGTCTTATTAAGAATAAACTTGCAAAATACATAAATTACAAACATACCAATACAGGTAAAATGGTTGAGGGGGTTAAAATACAATAAAGAGGACAAAGATGGTCAAATATTTTCCATGTTATATAAAATAAGATCAAAATTAATTACTTTTTAATGTATTGTATAATGATATCAATTTATTTCTATTCAATTCATATCATAATCCTTTAATTTTTGCCATGGCATCACAATCCATTATTTCAAATGTTTTAGATAATTGTTTTGTATCAAAATTACATTTCATATTTTCATAATTTCCACAAATGTTCAGTTTATGAGAGAATATTTGACCAGTGAGATTTATTGGCATTAACTAATAGAGATATCTATTTAAGAAACAACATTTCTAAAATAGTGCATTTTCACACAAAATGATGTATATTCCAGTTACCTATTGCATCTAAAATAAAAAATAAACCAATTTGCATTCATATTTTGGAAGTGAACTAGAATAATATCTACACGTATATTGCAATACCACTTTGAGATGTTGCTTTTACTTTTCTAAACTAAAATATTTTAGATCTTCTTTCTTCTTGTATATACATGGACATGATTAGGCATAATGCAATTGCCTCATTTGAACATATCTTTATATTTGCAAAATGTTTTCCAGCCCTAACAGCATTCTGATACTCATAGCATCTTTCTGTTTCACCTGAAACATGCTCTGATATTATGAGGCATATTCTGTGATCTGAGCACATCAGATGGGAAGAGTTATAACTGCCAATAAGTGTGATTGTTATCATGTAATCATTTACCTAATGTCAATACATTACATAATATGCATTGTATTTAACAGCAGATATTAGCATGGGCATGTGTACACAAGTTTAATGACCCCAATTAAATGAAATATGAGCTGGGATGAAAGATCTCAAAAATCCTCAATTTTGGGCTCTCCTGGATCGCCAAATCAAGCTCATTATATCATGGCATCTCAGGGCTGAGAAGAAATAAGATGTCATGGTGTATCATGATGCCCTAACAGTCTCATTTGCCAATTTGGAGCTCCTAGCTACATCTCTGATATATATAGTTGTATTCCCTTCCCTTCATTTAAGCCATTTTTAGCCCGTATGTTTTTCAAAATTCACTTTCAAAATAATTGCAAAAAAAACATTCAAAAATAATTTGATATTTATAGATGTATTTCAACAGTCAAAATGTATTGCAATATGTTGTGATTAAACTAAAACATAGAAATTCTAAACATGTTTACATACTTCACATTAATTCAGTTGCTAGGAAACAGAGAAAGCTTCTAACTGGCATTCATGTCAATTCATAAGTGAATATAAATATCTGTATGTTATTACAATATGCATTTGCTACCAGGTTTTGCAGAGAAATCACCCAATAATGGTAACTTTTGAATTCATTCTCATAAATCAGAAGTGTCCAATGCCTTGGAGGGGAATGGTTACACTAAGTACTATATCTAGTAAACCATTTATTCTGATGATTCATAACCTTGTATCACTGGTCCATATCAGCAAAAGGTAACTGCTGTTATTTTCTCTCACAACAAGTTCTTTTTCATCAAATTCAAATATTTACCATGGACATTTGACTTTGAAATTTTCAGTTACCATTATTGAGCCTTTCCCCTATTAAAATCCTCAAATGCACTAAATTTGGCATCCTCAAAAATAAATGGTCTAACATTAATAACAATGTGTAGAAATAATGAATTAATATTGTGGTGTTAAGTAGCACATGCTTTAAAGTGTTGTAAATAATATAATTGTACACAAGAACATTATTGATTAACTTACCTGGGGACCAAGTGGTCGCCATCTATACACAGCTCTAGGAGGCCAAGAAGAACTGCAGACACATCCAAATATGGTTCCCATACAGTGAAGCCTCGACCAATCAGATCTATGGCAGCACGTCGTATGGGGGTGAAGGCAGGTAGTCGGGGACTAGGAGGATGCAGGAGCAGGAATGTCAGGGCCTTGCCTACAACAGATAGTAAGAAGTCAGAATATTAAGAGTAAATGAATCGTAACAGGGTGAATGTCAAGCTTGTGGAGCATGGATCCATAGTTTATATCTGGTAATCAACACAGTTTGACAAAGCACATCAAAGGAAAACATGGTAAATAAGATATTGTAATGTAATGGAAAATTGAGGAAATTGTAATTGCAGCTCCTACTTGTGTGCATAGCGTGAGAATATTTGGTGATACCAAAGCCCTCTGCGACAGATGACTTCTTCTGCGGAGTTTCAGTGGTGGATTTACGTTTACTTGGCTCCATCTCTTGGCCAAATTCTGCACCAATAACGCCCAGCATCACAATTGCGGTTGCTTGACGTCGACGACTCTCAAATGACGACGTCAGTTTTCTTATTGGAGCATCAGCTAAAATACAATTAAAATTGCAATTAATAATAATGATTAAGCTTAAATAAAAGTCAAATTGCAAAAGTAGGTCAATATAATGTTAGCCAAATTATTGAGAAAATTTCAAAAGCTGTTACTTGTAAGCATCTGATCATCATCATCGTCAGTATGCTCCTCTGTCTCTGTGGTTGCCTGGTTCTCACTAAGGATGCTTAGATTAGGATCAACATAGCTGGGAAGGAATGGGGCCCATGTGTCGATCACCCTTTTCCTCCCCTCTGGACCAATCCTACGCAGTTCTCCCAGCAGGAGAGCTTGTCCAGCCTCTCGGATCTAGCGAGAAACAGAAAGGTTTATGTGGTATTTTACAAAAGTAAATTTTCTATATATAATACTTATCTTTTCTATGACTCATGCTTAATCTCCCTATTTGGCAATTCCCCAAAAACGAGAAAATGATCAGTCCCCTCGACCGATAAAAAAAACTTGCAAAAAATTAAATAAAAAAACCTGCCTGGCATTGTATAAACTACAGAATCATAAACACGATGATTTTTATACCTCTAGGCACCTATCCTGCCAGCGTCTGGCAAGCATTTGTAGCTCTGGGGGTTTATATTCACTCCTCCCTACCAGGTCAGGCAATAGCACACAGTGTAGGGCTGCTAGTAGACTCCAGCCTTGTTTGATCTGTGCCTGGTAGACACTCTTACAGTCATTGTCCATCTCATTGTCACTGTCTGTGCCTGAACTAGTGGACTCTGTCACCAACATACTAGTGGGTTCTAGACTCCTCCTGGAATAGTGTAGACAATATATGTGGAATGTTATACAGACAACATGTCAGCTCTGGGTATATCTTGACAATTGATATCACAGTGAGAAGACTTACCTAACTATCTTTCCTTGTGTAACAAGTGAGGCATTGGTCATACCCATGAGGGTATTAGCAATAGATATCACAGTGAGAAGACTTACCTAACTATCTTTCCTTGTGTAACAAGTGAGGCATTGGTCATACCCATGAGGGTATTAGCAATAGATATCACAGTGAGAAGACTTACCTAACTATCTTTCCTTGTGTAACAAGTGAGGCATTGGTCATACCCATGAGGGTATTAGCAATAGATATCACAGTGAGAAGACTTACCTAACTATCTTTCCTTGTGTAACAAGTGACGCATTGGTCATACCCATGAGGGTATTAGCAATAGATATCACAGTGAGAAGACTTACCAAACTATCTTTCCTTGTGTAACATTAGTGAGGCATTGGTCATACCCATGAGGGTATTAGCAATAGATATCACAGTGAGAAGACTTACCTAACTATCTTTCCTTGTGTAACAAGTGAGGCATTGGTCATACCCATGAGGGTATTAGCAATAGATATCACAGTGAGAAGACTTACCTAACTATCTTTCCTTGTGTAACAAGTGAGGCATTGGTCATACCCATGAGGGTATTAGCAATAGATATCACAGTGAGAAGACTTACCTAACTATCTTTCCTTGTGTAACAAGTGAGGCATTGGTCATACCCATGAGGGTATTAGCAATAGATATCACAGTGAGAAGGTGTTGGGTGGTTGTAGAGCTAGAGAGCTGCCAGTGACACTTGGTTGTAAACAAATGGGTTTCTTGTTCCGTATGTGGGAATGGTTGAGGTACTGAAATTAGATGGAAAGCAATTTTTGGTGAAGGATGTATCAGAAATATGTTCATTACAGATATAGAGGTTCTTATATGAGTACCTGTTCGACTCGATAAAGAAGAATTATCAAAGCTCATCAAGAATGGACGATCTTGCACAGGTACGAGTACAAGAACATTTTTCTCATATGACTCTGTATTATGCCATATTTTCACCATTTTATCATAAAACTGAGTGAAAAATAGCTTCAAATTAATTGAACTTCATCTTTCAATTGTTATAATATTGAAGAAAATACATAGATACACGTGGCAACAAAGCTCCATTGTTATGACATCACAACTTCGTTTTGTAGAATTAGCATGGATACTCATAGCAACGTCGTATCCGTTGCCATGTTGTTAATGTTTGAGTGATGTCACAAGTAAATCTCATCTTGCACGTGTGACTTTTTAGGATGAAAGATGGCAATATCTTGCATGGGGTAAAGATGGCTGCATCTTTGTTAGTCATATGAGAAATCCAACTTCACATCATTCAATATTTGTGTAATATCAAAGATTGGATATCAATTTCCTTTAATTTTGAGGAATCTGAGGATCAGAATTAAATCTGCATTTAATGTTAATAAGGACTTACCAGAATTTAATGTTAATAAGGACTCACTTGCATATAATGTTACTCAGGACTCACCTGCATTTATTGTTGCTAGAGTTTTTGCGATGAGGTGTTTATGCCAGCTGGGCATCATTAGGCACATGTGACCCCCTCGTGACAAAAGACCAAATGACACTGGACATTTAGGTCTAATAAGACCTGGAAAAATATAAAAATGAACAATTAAACTATCATATTTTTAATGTGAAATACATCCATACAGTACAAGGGGCATTCAATAAGTATTGGTAGCTTTTTTCCTACTGCTTTAATTGTTATGGAATTTTGAAGGCAGAATATGTTGCTTATCTTGCAAAAGTTTAATGAAGAACAACACAATAAGGTTCCACAATTGACTAGACAATATCATGGCAATAATGCACAAATATGAATTCAGTGCAGTCTTTTTAATACCTAGCTTATTTGCACAGAGGCGGTCCAAGTCCAGGTCAAGTCCCCAGGCATGCAGACAGCTCATCAGCAACTGGGCTGTCTCCAAGGTAATATCTTGACTACTGATTACCAATGTTCCTTTGGGCTTCTTTCCCTTCTCTCCATTCTGAGCCCCATGAGTGGGGGTCCCTTTGGGGGTGAGAAGGGGGGACCCACTGGGTTTCAGCCCAGCACTCTCAGCTTTTTGTTGGATTTTCTGACCAACATTTTCAGCTTTATCTTTTACTTTGGCAATAAAACCTGAAAGTAAATGGGGGTGTTAATTAATTTTTGGCATAAAGATTATATTCTAGTGGTTTGGTGTTCAAACACTACGGATATAACCTATATTGAACAGGTTTCTGAGAAACATGATTTTATAAAGTACACATTTGCTTAAATCACTTGCCAGACAATAGTTGGTTCCTTACCTGCTATCTTTCGTTGTGCCTCATCCAAACCATCTTGATTTTTTGCTTTTTCAGTAGCAAAGAATCCATGAGCCTCTAATGTAGAAGGGGACATATTATTATACTGGTCACTTAGTAATTGCACTGAAATATAGAAAGGGAATTATTAGTTTGGATTACTAATTGCAGGTAAACCCATGTACATTGAAAAGAATAAAGAATAATAAAACTGAATCAATGAATTATGTCTCTCACCTATTAGAGCTTCAATGTCAAAGAACATAACATGAGCATCTGGGTCTTTAGTATTGCACCTGACACCCTGTATAAGCAGAGGGTATGACTGTGCCTTCTGCATGATGCCTGGGTGCACATTGGCATTCTGCACAGCACTCTGCATTTGTTGGATACGTTGCTTTGCCAGGTTCTGGAATGTTGCTAAGTTACGTCGTTTAAAAGCCTGGGCAATACTGATAGAAGGATTTGCTAGTTTCTCTATGACTTCATCTTGGTTTTCTCCACAAGCTGCAATAATATCTTCAGCAAGCACCCCATGAACGACCCTGTCTAGGTGACCTGAAGAACATATTCCAGTTCAATTTTAATATTCATATATGTAATGTTTTAAGAAAGTACTCTCTACCTTTTGGTGGCCATTTGGAAATTATTAATAAGTTAGATAGCTATTTATTTCATAATCTATATTACATGCAGAAAGTAAAATGCATTTATGCACATGACACACAGTAATTTGGCATTATAATTTCCAAATTAATGGATTACAATATTTAGATGTGCTCATAAAACTAACCTGTTTCCATCTGCCATACATAGACAGTGCCATCTGTACAGCCCAGTATCAGAAAGTCATCGTGCGGCCGCCATTTCACAGTGACAACAGGGAAAAGCTGTCGAGCTGCCAACATGATACACTTCCTCTCCTTTAAACTGACTAGTGCGACTGAGTGATCACTGGCAACTGAACATATACATGGCAAGACTCGAGTCTGCAATAAACAAGGAAAGAGTCAACGATAAGCTACATTAGAAATATCCCAACATATTACAATGACAATTATATCACCTGTATCCACTTTAGACAGAACAAAACCTTAAAGATGCATTATGCCATAGGTTTCTCCCCCCAGACAATCAATGATGTCCTATTGTTATTGCTCATATAATATCTCACATACCATGGATATATCTTGAGAATAACTTTTGGGTATATTATTGCCGAAATATCGGAAATAATCAACAGAACAACCAAACTCCAGAATTAAACACAATCAATTCGTTGGCTATCGAGTAGGGGTGAGACGAGTCAAAAAAATCCGATTCGAGTCGAATCCGATTCGAGTCAGAAAATGACGATTCGAGTTTCGAATCCGTTTCGAGTCGCGCGAAGTGCGAACAACATCGCTTTTGACCGTTCGTATTTTTAATGCGTCAATGGTGGAAAGCCGGAAATATAAACAAACACAATTCGTCGTAAGTTTATTCTGATTTTATTACATATATTCTTTCATTTATGTGTACATACAATATAATAATTTAATACAAGCATATCCAAGTCATTGAAACTTATATATTCAACGCAATATCGAGTAAAAACATGCATATTGACAGTATTTTTCTGAATTTTTTTATTTTTTCGAATTTTTTTCTCAACTCGAAAATGATTCGATTCATCAACTTCGACTCGATTCGACTCGACTCGAAGCCCCTAACCCGCGAGTCCTCGACTCATCGGGTTGTCGTCTCACCCCTACTATCGAGGGGAATCCCCATTGAGTCACACAAGCGCCCTGAACGAGGCAGCCAATCAGGTTTATGATAAACAAATTCAACGACCAATCAGAGGAGGACTTTCCCGGAATATTCAAACTTCAAATTGAATTAATTTCTTCGAAAATAATTAGATTAGCCAGCACAATCGCAAAATTAACACTGAAAGAGGGGTATTTGGGACTTCTTCTTTGGTAAGTAGATGGGTAGATATTGGTGAAACTCAATATGCAAAAAAGTCCAGAGGGGTCTTGATTGTGCAATGGCATAGTGCCACTTTAATTTTCACACATTTCAATCAGCAAACTTTACTTTATATCATTCAAAACGATATGTTTTGATTACAACAAAATAAACATTGTTTTGTAATATTATCGTCACAATGTAATGTTGTGGTGGTACAAATAACTGCAATATATTGCAATATACTTAAATTACATGTAGGTGGTGGCACAAATAACTGCAATATGTTGCAATATACTTACATTACATGTAGTTGGTGGCACAAATAAATGTAATATATTGCAATATACTTACATTACATGTAGGTGGTGGCACAAATAACTGCAATATATTGCAATATACTTACATTACATGTAGGTGGGGGCACAAATAACTGCAATATATTGCAATATACTTACATTACATGTAGTTGGTGGCACAAATAAATGTAATATATTGCAATATACTTACATTACATGTAGGTGGTGGCACAAATAACTGCAATATATTGCGATATACTTACATTACATGTAGGTGTGGGGGCACAAATAACTGCAATATATTGCAATATACTTACATTACATGTAGGTGGGGGCACAAATAACTGCAATATATTGCAATATACTTACATTACATGTAGTTGGTGGCACAAATAAATGTAATATATTGCAATATAACTTACATTACATGTAGGTGGGGGCACAAATAAATGTAATATATTGCAATATAACTTACATTACATGTAGGTGGGGGCACAAATAACTGCAATATATTGCGATATACTTACATTACATGTAGGTGGTGGCACAAATAACTGCAATATATTGCAATATACTTACATTACATGTAGGTGGGGGCACAAATAACTGCAATATATTGCAATATACTTACATTACATGTAGGTGGTGGCACAAATAACTGCAATATTTCTCCTCCGTGGATTGTGAATGTGTGAAGTCGATTTCCAGTATTTACATCCCATAATATTAAACAGAAATCTATTCCCCCGGAGATGAGATATTCTGCCTCATATCGGCTGTTGTCATTGTGAGGATAAAGCAAACAGTTCACCCGACCCTCATGACCATATAGAGTTCGATAACTTGCAAAGTCTGAAAGAGCAAAATTGAACAAAAGGACCATGTAGTGTATCGTGAATAATTTTGGACAGTTTTTTATTTTTGACTGGGAGTATTGTAACATCACACATTCCTCGTTTTACATTAGAACAATATGTTATCTTCAACTTGAGCACCAAAAAAAATAAATAAAACTGTCATTTGGATTATACCATCTAAAATAAGTCTGAAATAGCGAAGTTCAACAAAATCTAATCTGTGTTTTTAATATCTCCCCATTTCAATCTGACATGTCCCCAAGTTCTCTCTGAATTCATGTATTCCTTAATTAGAAAACTAACCTTTAGTTTTTGGTTGTTTATAGTCTAGTAGTTGCAGTATGATAGTATGAGTGGCAGGCACTATGACAATGCTACCGTCCTCTCTGCCAACAACAAACTTGCCCTGTGATGGAATGTAAACTGTGGCTGTGATCTGCTCACTGCGATCATTACACTTTGACTGAAATTTGTAAAGGGAAAACCATATTCATAGGTTATATGACAACTCAAGACAATCATATTGAACAATACACACCAAAACCATTCAGTTATATAATCTTTCATCTGTAGTTCCATGAAATTTCCCTCAAGTTTGAACATATGTGTACATGTATTTATCAACTTACATTTCATGTTTAAATATAAAATCATTAATTGAAAATGCTTTAAGAAATATATACTGTCAACTTTGATGGCTTTAATATTCAGAGAATACAGCTACATCTTTAGCCCTGACAGGGTCTGCGAGGAGTTGATGAGGAACTAGTCCATACTTACCACATGATCTATAATGCTAGGAGTTGATGAGGAACTAGTCCATACTTACCACATGATCTATAATGCCAGAAGTTGATGAGCAACTAGTCCATACTTACTACATGATCTATAATGCCAGGAGTTGATGAGGAACTAGTCCATACTTACCACATGATCTATAATGCTAGTAGTTAATGAGGAACTAGTCCATACTTACCACATGATCTATAATGCCAGGAGTTGATGAGGAACTAGTCCATACTTACCACATGATCTATAATGCCAGGAGTTGATGAGGAACTAGTCCATACTTACCACATGATCTATAATGCCAGGAGTTGATGAGGAACTAGTCCATACTTACCACATGATCTATAATGCCAGAAGTTGATGAGGAACTAGTCCATACTTACCACATGATCTATAATGCCAGGAGTTGATGAGGAACTAGTCCATACTTACCACATGATCTATAATGCCAGGAATTGATGAGGAACTAGTCCATACTTACCACATGATCTATAATGCCAGGAGTTGATGAGGAACTAGTCCATACTTCCTCTAGTGACACATTACTTCTTGGAGGCACCACTACAAACATGATAAAATCAAACAATGTAAAAGCGTTCAATTAAAAATGCCAATGCTAAGGTGTAGCATATCCCATGTACGAGTATATGGCTGCAGTTTTCAAAAGAATTATCATTCCATTGATTTTTGAGGTTAAATATCACTGCCATATCATGCACTATAAATGTATAATTTTACAGTTTCTCTTTTCCCATACAAACTTTATTTGATATGATAGCAAGCCCATACCTGGTAGTTTCTCAAAGCTTTCTTGACGGACTAATTTCATTGACTTCTCATCCACCTCTGGAATCTCCCAGACGACTAATTGGGCTTCAGAATCTCCACGCACTAGAATTTTGCGATGCTGGTCTCTAGTCCCCAATAGGTACATCATGGTTGGGGAGCAGCTAAGATGCTGATAACATACAGATAAAAAAACATACATAAAGGTTAATAAGATTTAGGATAAAAACACAATAAGAAGACTAACAAGGCAATACTTAGAGGTTATGTCACTATGACGTGAAATATCCCAACATAGGCAGACCTTGGGAGGCTCTATATTTGGGCAACAACGAAGGCATATTTCATATCATAGTGACATAACTGATGTATTACATAACAGTACCTTTATTCCCATGGCTACTTTGTATCAATGATGTCACACATCTGTGTGCGAGTAGAATTTGATCGAAATAGAACACGACGTAAAGATATTGTCATAGTAATTAAAGAATCTAATGTCAAAATGAGGAAAGGGGGCTATATCGGTGGGTATTACATACCTAGCGAAGCATTTGTATGGAAGTCAATGGAGCTGAAGGTCGGCTACTATATATTCCTGCATAGCCACCAAACTTTTTTCCCATGACAACTTTATGACATCATAACATGTAAACAAAGTGATTTCGACTGGAATTGTGTAAAATTTTGGTCTTTCACGCATTTCTACATAATATCTTTATGAAATGTTAAGTAAATGTACTTTAGGTATGTAATACAACAATTTGCATCTTGCACCTTCGGTCCGTTATCAATATAACCCTCGCAACCTCAGGCATATATTCAATAATAGGGACATAATGGCTAAATATAGCCCCCTAACTTTCCAACTGACTTTGATACAAATGTTTCACGAGGTATGTAATACATACAAATAGATTACATTTGTGTTTTGTGAATTCAATAAATATAAACAAGGCATTAACATGAAAAAATGTCACCATTTAGTTACACACTTGCAAATTACAATTTGTTACAGATGCAAATGCTGGTTACAAATTAAGATGTCTATTATACCATATATGGCAATTAATATTTCACCCAGATCAAAGGTTCTAAAAGAAGTGGTGACATAAATACCAAATAATGACTCTAATTATGAGTTGAACGAGAAAATACACTGTATTTGACATATGTAGAACTAAATTTCTATTCTGTTAAATAAAAATGAAAAAATCTTTTGGGTCCATATTTTTCAAAAAGGCCTATACAAAGGGTATGAGAGTTGGTACTTCCACATACTTTTGATTTGAACTAAAATATTAACTCAGTATCTTATACAAACTCAACACTCTACTTACTCTCTCAGACTGCAGACTTAAAATACTGTAGGCCTGGGGGGCTTGCAGGGTGACTTGTGCCCCCATCTTTGTGTGGTACTGTGGGTTTTCAGAATTGGCACTATAATAAATAAGTAAAAAAATACAAATAAGTAAAAATACAAAATGACATGAATAACTCTTACTGCACAAGGATGAATATTATATTTATTAAAAATAGGATAATGCAAATAAATTACGATGACAAGGCCATGAAGTATACTATGCTCCCATGACTCATCTCTTCATACCCCCTCCATATCTGAAGAAAATTCAGACAGCAAAAACAATTCAATTTCAAAGATGATGGTATAATAAATATTTTTCAGACAAGAGTTTATCATTGGTTCAAGGCATCAATACAACATAAGAAAAACAATTTTATAATTACGCTATAACAAATGCATATGTTTTCCATTCTGGAACAAATATGTTTTGATTTGATTGACTCTAACATTTAGGTTGACAGGTGGACAGGAGGACAGGAGAATGGGATAATTATATTACATAGCTTTTAAAGGAAGGTGTTTCATGAATTTGAGTCAAAAATATTGATTTATAGTCCCCCGACTTAAGAATTTAGAAAAAAAGCTTTTGTGACCTAGTCAAATGACTTGACCTTTTGAAGTGTTTACTTATTCTGACCTCTTTAGAAGCTTTCTGAGTTGACCTACATTCAATCAAGATAGGTGATTTCAAAAATTAACTTTTTTACCTTGTGAATGTCAATGAAGGTCAATGAAAGGTTAGGTCTAAAATCAAATGTCACATTATACACTTCTGGCAAAAAATATTGGACATCTAAACGTAGTTGGACTAATTATGTTTGATATCAACTTCTTCAGGCAGATGGACAGACAGACAGACACTTAGGTGATTACAATAGCTCAACTATGTGCGCTAAAAATGTTCAGGTGTAAGTATTGTGTATTCTGATATTTGTCAGTTGAAAATGTTTACATGCAGCATATTTGAATAGTTCAACTCAAGAAGTGACTCTTCTTATTCAGCTGCAAGCATATTCAAAATAACATGCAAAATAAAGGAGGGGATAACATCAGGCAATATAATTACATAATATACTAGGTGTTAAGCTTAAATATAAGAATTTAAAACTTAATATATAATGTGGCAGCATTTTGGTACGTTTGTGCTGAGTATAAAACTAAAGCATTGTAACTGAGCATAAGTTGGGGGAATTATACATAAACGAGCAGTAACATACAAGATGCTAAATAGGTCTCCATCTAAAATATTTAAAAGAATATCAACCAATGAAGCTTTACACTTTTGCTGACTCTCTAAAAACTACAGATCTCTTGATAAATTGATGGAATAATGCTTATTCTTTGAAATAAAAAAATTATAAAAAAAAATAAAAAAAAATAATAATAATCAGAATCACATTTGACAAAAATGCGTGGAATCCCAATTCTGCAAAAGCAATCTGGCAATAGTTTAGTTGGGTTAGACTCATTTGGCATCATGTATTTATCTCATCTAAGGCCAGCTGCACAGGCTCAGCATTTTAGCAGAAAACCAGTCTGAATTGGCTATTCTTACCTTTCTAGGATACTCCCTTTCAGAAGGCTGTGTTCACAAATAGAATTAACGTTACAAAGTATTCAATTATGATGACAATATGTTGTATTTTTAAAACAAATTGCCTAACTTCCTCAAACCCTGTATTCCTCAAATAATATTTTTACTTTATCAAATTCATGTTTGAACTTAGCCATACTACAAATTTGAACATAAACAGATATTAGAAGATAAGATACACAGTAGATATTAGTAAAAGTAGTAGAAGTAGCTAGGAGATAAAAGGAATATCCTATTGGTTTTGAGAGAATACCATTTATATCCATGAGTGGATAATGATATATTCAACCATGGTTGAAATACGTAGGGGTATCTTATGTTTCCCCAAGGTAGAAATACATAATTCAAATGATACATAAAATAATTTAAGATTTCAAATGACTGATATTTTGCAAAAACAAATACTGACATCTTTAAGGGTTTATAAAATAAGCTAATAAATGAGTGAAGCCTAACTGTTCCTAAACCACCTGCCATCAAATTATGCCAGGGGAGGCCAAAATGTACAATAGAATACAATTATTGCCATGCACTTCGTATAATCTTTTGAGGCTGAATGTAAATATACATAGAAGGGCAGAGCTATCTCCAAAGTAAATATTTCACAAAAATAATTTACCAAGGATAGGGATATAAGCTCTGACAAGCATGACGTTTTCAAGTAAGTTAATTGTTGGGACAATTCTTAAAGGCATTCTTCTTGTAGCTCATTACTCTGTTATAATCTACATTTTCAGAAATCTTAAATTTAGTAAACAACTTTTTAGGATGGAAAATCTAACATCTATGGTCTTATTATAATTTACCCAGCATGCCCAGAATAAAATCGCGAAATTTTCATATAAAGAATCATCCCTGAAAATGAGAATGGCTGGGATGACCTCTTAAAATATATTCAGCACGCTCAAAAACTAATGCGTTCAAGATTTTTTTACCAGGAGAGACCTCTCAAATGGATCATTCAAATGATTTGCCTGAAAACATGTGGATAACCTTTTGGGACGACCACCCGCTGTCCACCTGCCACATGCCCAAGTCACAAAAAACATCCAAAATGTCCCTTTGAAATGATGTCTCTAATCATAAGGTCATCTTAAAATTTAAATTCATTCAATTAAATTTTCAATAACTTCATGTTTTGTTGAGATATGTCTTTTCCAGATCTATTATTAAGGCAGTAAAGGGCAGGGAAATAAGAGATCGTAGATTCTGTTGCCACTTTCTCAACCCAACATCTAACTTTACTTTGAGCATCCATAATATATAGTTCACATATGAAAACCTTTTTGAGTTATCTAGTTACAATAGTTACTTACTTAGTTGGAAGTTTGTACATGTAGCCTTTTCCATTGTTTCCCCATACAACGACACGGTCTACTCCAATGAACTCTCCCCCCAGCCACCTCTCCCCGCAGCGGTTAGACTCAGAACACAACAGGGAGAAGTCTCCCGCATCGTAAATCTGAAAATGAATAAAATAATCCATTATCTTTATTTGGAATAATGTTATCATTTATACCTTTATTTAAATACAGGAATTAACAGGGTTGATTCAAAGATTAGCATTCATTCACAGACTACTAAGAACACAACCTTATACAACAGGTCCCCAGCAATGGCCGATTATATTTAAATTTTTCATTCTGATTTTTGATCAAATCTAGATTTTTATAATATGAAATACTCTTCGAATTAATCGATGTGCAGGGAAACACATAGACAAAACTTTGTAGATAAAATTTTGGAATGGAAAATTCCAAATTGGTCACATCTTAATTTATCTCGCATTTCCACAAACTGAGTAATCCCCAGTTTTAGATTAACCCTTATCATTTTAGAAACACAATGAATGCATGGTCATGTGACATTGCAAACATGAGGAAAAGAAAGAACAACAAAGAAATTCAACATCGGCTATGCTCTACTTATTTTATTGACACTGTAGCTAGCAATACTCCATTTATGTTTTTTCTCAGTTGCATGATGAGAAAAAATCAAGAAGTTGAAAAATACAGGAAAAATTGATAGACTCCAGATTTTCACTTCAGAGTTTGATAAAATTTATAATTTGTTATAAAAACTTATTTTATCAAAATTTAGGTGTGAAACCATGCATTACAGTACTATAGGTTCTGCACTTTGGTTGTGCTATGATATTGGTGAATAGACATAATCTATGCTAATCATAACGCCATGCATATCTAAAAAACTGCTTGAAGAATGAAAACCTGGGATTCCAATTATACAAATGTGATTGGGTCTCAAAATGCATATCATTCAATCTACATATGCATCATAACCAAATAATTGCAAGCAGTTGTCAACATTCAATGCATATGGCTAGTTGCTAATTCACTGTTTCTCCTTTTTATTAATGATAAATCCTTGTATTTGTCAGAGAGAGCATTTATACAGATTTTAAACTATACTTAAAACTTCATTCTACTGAAAATAATGAGGATATACAACAATCATTCAGAGACATTTTCAACATGACAACAATGTGTTTAAGCAGATGAGAAATGTTTGTATGTTAAGAGAGGTTTCACTTAATATTTTGCTCGAACATAAAACCTGTAAATGCAGTATAGGCACTGACCATATACTTTTATGTGTATTATGTCTCACCCACTCATTTATGTGCAGCTATTGCAAGCCACGTGAGCAGCAATCAGCAAACACATAAAATGTGGATTGTGGAGACTTCTGTAGGTAATCATTTACATAGACAATTTCATCATTTAAATAAATTGAATATCATTCTAAAGCTATGTGTAGGATTAGAAGCAATGTAAATCACTGGGTTTTGTTAAATGAAAAATCATGATTTCTCATATGTCACATTACCGAGATCTAGATATGCTTTTGCAAATACATTATGTGAAACCGCTCAATTATAATCTATCATTAGGCTAATTATCTTGTAGTACAAACTATCCATGTACATCAATAATGACATATTGCATTCACCTCCAACAACCATAGAGAACTTATGTTTTCCACCAAAATAGGTCTCGACAAAATGGCAACTCCATGGAGTCAAATATCCCAACAAAAAAATTCTAATGGTAACTAAGTTTAGGAACTATGATTCTGATTGGAATGATACATATGACCTTTGACCCCGGGTTCTCAGAATTTGAGGAAAACAATTTCAAATTTCACATTTATTTGACAAAATAGAGGTCCTCTATTCTATACTACCAAAAAGCCCTGTCAAACTTTGTTCATTTGGGATAATATTGACAAAAACTAATTGTGCGTACTGATCTGACTTTGCCCTAGCCTTTTCTAATATCTAAAACTACATACTTCACCTACCGGTTCATCCATCATTAGATCTTGAATGACATTATGGTGACCAACACCATAATCATAAATCTAAAGTTTCATTGAGCATGCAAAAGAGAAAGAAAATAGCACATATATTACATGTATGGCAGGATCAGAAAATATGAACAGACATTGAATTTTAGATTTCATAGAGTTTCATAGAGATAAGCAATGTACAGGGTGGACAAAAATAATGGAAACCCTGCATTTTCCTCACATCTTCGTCATTTTGGGTAATTATTCCCTTAAATTTAACACACATGTACAACATTCAATTTCCTACCAGCTAACCATATTTCATGACCATCAGATTGATAGTCACAATGGTACAGCACTTTGAACAAGATGCCCCAGTGTGACCACCATCGCGTTATTGGCAAATCTGAACAGGTTGTCAATGATCTGACAACATTTTTCAGCAGGTATGGCCTGAATGACATGGATTATCTGCTTTTTGAGGTCTACAGTTGTCCTGGTGTTATTCTCATACACTCTTTTTTGGTGTATCACCACAGGTTGAAGTTAGGGAGGGACATTTTGGATGATAGGTGCAGGTTTGCCGAAAGTGCAATATTGGCCAATGGAGCATGTTGTTTAAAGTGCTGTGATGTTGTGACTATCAATTTGATGGTCATGAAATATGGTTGGCCGGTAGAAAATTGAATGATGTACAAATGTGCTAAATATCAGGGAGTAATTTCCTAAAATGACAAAGATATGAGGAAAATGGCGACAGGGTTTCCATTTTTTTTTGACCACCCTGTATGTAATAGGAAATGTGGTTAACAACCCCAAGAGAAGTTTTAAAATAAGAAAACTTTTTTTCCTCTTTACAGCATGCATTGTACAGTACTGTGATAGTAAAATACGAAAATCCAGTATTGTAATATTATATCAAAATACATTATCATAATATAATACCACTTACAGTACTGTAATGTAATATTGTAATACAGTACTTAGAGGTTATGTCACTATAACGTGAAATATGCCTGAGTTCTCCCAATATAGGCCGACCTTGGGAGGCTCTATATTTGGGCAAGAACGAAGGCATATTTCACGTCATAGTGACATAACTGATGTATTACATGCATTTGTTCCCATGGTTACTTTGTATCAATGACGTGACGTCATGATATTATCATGGTTATTAAAGAAATCTAATATCAAAACGAGGTAAGCGGGCTATATCGGGGTAATCGGGCAATATCGGTGGATATAGCTCGCTAACTTTCCCATTGACTTCCATACAAATGCTTCGCTAGGTATGTAATACTGCAATATATTACCAAAACAAGATAATACCAAAATGAAATGCTGTAAGATAATACCCAATGGTACCATGTATAGTTATAGTACCATGATATAGTGCTGTTTGAAAGTACCATAATACAATACTGTAATATAATACTCAATACTGTACCCTATTATAGTACCACCATACAGTACTGTAAGATAGTACCATAATACATAGCATAGCATATACAGAACAAAAGGAATGTACCACAATAGAGTTCAGTAATGTACAGCAGCAATACAGTATAGTTAAATTGTATCAAGTATGAAGTGGCAAATCCCAACAAAGAAAATCAAAAACCCTCTTTACTGAGCAGTTTTCTTCAATTTTAAGAATATTTTATGGAGTGATCTCAAAATTATTAAAAAAATTCCGATGGCCATTTTGGATCTAGAGGCACAAAGCAGGAAAATCTAAAGCATAACATCAAGAGGAAGATCCCAAAATTAACACAAATTCCCACTTAAGTAGCTAGGTTAGATTTGGAGACATGAATCAGAAAGACAATAATTAAAATACAAGAACATATTACAGTTCAGTATTTACAAACATTGATGATGGTATTGCTGATGATTGAAAACTATGAGCAATCAGTTCAGCATTTTAAGTTGCCATGTAGAGAATTGATTTGATGGTTTATGATGTATCAATACTTTCATTTTAAGTGTCTGACAAGTCTTCACTCTTCATTTAAGTATATGACATGTCTTGAGTCTTAAATTAGGTATCGAACAAGTCTTGACTTCATTAAAAATATCTGACATGTCTTAACTGACTTCACTGAAGTATCTGACATGTTTTGACATTTCATGTAAGTATCTATCTGACATGTCTTGAGTCTTCATTTAAGTATATGACACGTCTTGACTCTTCATTTAAATATATGGCATGTCTTGATTCTTCATTTAAGTATATGACATGTCTTGACTCTTCACTGAAGTATCTAACATGTATTTGACATGCCTTGACTCTTTGATTAGGTATTTGACATGTCTTGACTCTTCACTGAAGTATCTGACAAGTCTCGACTATCATTAAAGTATCTGACATGTCGTGACTCTTCACTGAAGTATTTGACATTCCTTGACTCGTCACTTAAGTATCTGATATGTCTCCATTCTTTATTTAAGTATCTGACAAGTCTTAACTTTTCATTTAAGTATCTGACATGTTTTGGCACTACATTCAATATTGAAAATTCAAACTTCAAACAATTTACCCTTCATTCACATTCAAGTCTCACTGCATTTACACTTAATCAAAAAAAAAACTTTTTCATTCACATATTTGTATTTCATTGAGATGCAAGTGAAAATGTAATTGGCACCCTACCTGCCAATACTTGGAGCAGACTATGAGTACAGTACGTTGGTTGTAAGCACAACAACGCAGAGTGTGGGCATTCAGACACCTGATCTGCTTTGACTCATCCTCATATATTGGTTGACTAGCCTGCAAGAAAGGAGTAAACAGAAGAGTTAAATAACTACAACAAGAGAAAATCCAACATTGCAAGTCTCTCAACACAAACCAATTTTACATATCAAATGCTAGAAATACAGAACTTGAAAAAGATAATAATTTTGTAACCATTCAATGTTTTCAATTGAATTATTTAATTCTTTCATTTAGTACAATATAAATGATAAGAAATTTTTATGACAATCGAAACAGCACAACTGATAGCTAGCTCATTAATTAGCACACTAATGTGAGAGAACCAATTGATACACTAATCTGGTAATGACATGTAAACCGAGTGTGTACATATAGCATATCCTAATGTTTCAATGCATTCTTTAAACAATGTACCATACAGATGTATTTTTTAAATGAATAATAAATGACGCGTGGCCTTTTATTTAACTAATATTAATAAAAATAAATGTGAATATAACATGAAATGATTACCTTTGATTCTGTGCCATTGAGTGTCCACACTTTGACTGTTCCAGAATTAGATATTGCAACAACCACATCATCTGAAACAAGTAAATCATCAATGTCATCTCCAGACAATTTGTGATAACCAAAGTCAATAAAAGTTGAAATAATTCATCATTCACAACTTATCAACAATTTGATATGAATGAGTACTCAACAAATATATGAGTATAGCCTTTATATTGCAAATAATACAACTAAACAACTTTAAGCAAAATTAATTTATTGTTCATTGTACCTTGGCGTTTGATTGGTCGAAGTATACAGAGAGCACTTATCCAATCAGGAGCCACTCTTGATGAGAGTGAAAACAAGATTTCCAGACTTAGAGGATCAATTACATGGATCTCTGGGTAGTAGCCATTGCAAACAAGTTTGATATCTCGTGCGTTGGAAAACTGGTAGGCCTCAATAGATGTGTGAATCGTTGAATGTTTGGTGTGTTCTATACATCTGCCATCGCTAATATCCCATAGACACATCTCCCTGAAAATATTCAAAATAATTTGTATATTAAGAGGAGGATATTCACATCAGTGACTTCTCCAACTTTTAAGCAAATGCAACCTTATACTAGAGCCAGATCTATAGAATATGAATATATTGTATTTCTCCATATAATATTACACAGTGGTCCATCAATTTGTTTTTGTGGAAACAAATCTATGCAAATCTAATCTATCTGTACATTTACATCTTTCCAACAAATAATTCCCTGAATGACTACCTAATGAATAGAAGATTATTGTTTATTACTGCTGAATAAAATACCAATTATATTATTCACTCTTGTTTCAAGCTTACCCATTATCAGCACTGCTAATGAATAAATGTCTATCTGGGTTGTTACTCGCTTTAGTAAGACAGCTTATAGATGCACTGTGGCCAAATAACATGCTCCTTGGAAATATCTGGAAGAAATATGTATCATTTTACAAGTGTGGCTTTGGATGGATTAAGGCAGATCTACAATTTTTGCAATTTTGAAAAGAAGACTGCTCAATTTTCTAATTATTTATACATTCCAGAGAAAAATCAACACTCAAATAATAATCTGGGTACACTAAAGCAGCTTTTATGAAAAAATGAAAGATTTAGACAGTGTTTGGAATGTTATGTTCATCTGAAAAAAGCACATGGTTGTAGCTTGTCTGCATAAATGAGTGTATCTCATACTTGAGTGGGTTTTGGGTAGATATCACCCGGGAATATATATCGTATCTGAGGAGCGGGCAGGATATATTGTATATGTCCCGCTCCAGGCCAAATGCGGGCAGATATAATATATCCATCCCGCTCCCGGGAATTTTTCAAAAGTTTAAATATCAAAAGTTTTAATTTTTTAATTTTGAAATTTAATTTTTTTTAGTTTAAATGTTACAATTTTATTGTATTGAACAAAAAGAATATTACGAAAATGTTAAATATAAATATCTTTTCATTTGAAAAAGATGGAAAAGGTTATATCTACCCTAAACCCATTCAAGCATGAGATACACCAGTTATGCACGGTCGGTTTGGATACACGGAATATCCCTTGGGATATACAATACATCTTCCCTCGGTCCCTTCGGTCCCTCGGAAAGATATATTGTATATCCCTCGGGATATTCCCTGTATCCAAAACCTCCCAGTGCATAACCCCTATATACACTTTAGTACATAGAGATTATCCTATATGAGGTTCAGGATATTGGGATTATCCCGAGGCAATATAATATATCTGCCCGAGGGCCGCAGGTCCTAAGGGAAAATATATTATATTGGCCAAGGGATAATCCCAATATCCTGAACCGACTATAGGATAATATGTTTATCCCATACCAATCTTGGTCATCTGGTTCACATTGTTCAGTCCTGGAAATATTTTAGAATATTCATGTCCAGTTTTGTTTTCTTGGCCGTGGGTGGATTTTCCTGTTCTGTCAAATATTCCCATATTTATTTTCTCGAATTTTTGATTGATTAAGTGGATGCTCCTTCCCTTTTTTAAACCATCAAACAGATCCCGATTGTCTGTGTTTTCTCCATTGTCGTTTACAGTCATTACGCGAATGTTACAAATTATGAACAAATATGCGAGCGGCGATTGTGACGAAGCAGGCAGATATACTATATCTGCCCGCTCGGAGCGGGACGTAAAGCTATATCTGCCCGCTGATGAAAATATAAGTTTTTACAAACCGGCTTTATGTACCTTTAACACGTCCAAGTATGGGATAAAAGTTTATATCATACATCATGTATACTGAAATAAAACCTACTGTACCTGCCAATTGGGTAAAACATCCCAAACACAAATCTGTCCATCGTTAGATCCAGTGACAATAATTTGCAGATCACTTGTCATATGAATGGCAGAAATACAATGTGTGGGTGCATGTGGTCCCCACAGAACCATGGGAACCACAAGATTACTAGCTTGATTCATGGCTCAATATCTGTTAGCTGAATTGGTCAGAGTAGTTGGTGTTCACATTGTTGTTCATCTATCAGATAGCACCTAGAACAAATAAAATAGATTTAGTAAGCCTAAGGTATGTTAATACTAAAGGTATCACAGATTTTTTTTCTTGAATAGTTCGGTTCAGATCATTTAAGTCTAAATATTGTTGTGTTTCAGAACCTAACAGAAATTGTCACTCATTGACAGCTCTTATTTCTTTCAAAATGAACACCTCTGAACCTTCGAATCCAATGCAGCTTGTTCCAATATGACTCAACTTGAAAAATAAGCTGCAAATCCACAAAAGGTACATGACATGACTGCAGAGCTGCATGTGTTTAACATTATTCAATATTGTATATAACTAAGAGATGTAAAATATGAAAGCGTGCCATATTTTCACACTTCTGGTAAATGTCACTGAATCTTATACTTAGTAGATGCCCAAAAGCTCTTGAAGAAGGACAGTACAGGTGGGGAGAATGACAGTACAGGTGGGGAGAATGACAGTAAAGGTGGGGAGAATGACAGTACAGGTGGGGAGGAGACTTGATAAGGTTCTCAGAGAAAGAGCAAAATGGACAGACCAGCATAAACAGCTCTATCATGAACATTAACAAGAATGAAAGACCAAGACTGACTAAGTTCGTCAAGGAAGGAAATAGTGTTCAACACAAACCAACACAAGAATTCCTTCCAATACAACATCCTGTCCAAGGCCAACTAGTTGTACTCTGAAAGTAAGTTGAGGCAAAATTGACAGAGCCATTGAAGGCCAGAGGTTGGGCACACTGTCAAGTACCCCATATAAGTAGTAGGAGGCAGAGGTTTTCCACTCGCACTCTTTGTTATTTTCTATCTCATATAGAATTATCACCAACACAACAATCAAAGTAGTCAGTATTGATGCATCACCAATGTTTATAACAAAAAACGCTACAGGTAAAACAACTTATACTTGCTGGTAGAAGTAAATTGCTATTATTTATTGTCAAATCTAAATTAAGGTTTGACTGACTTAGAAATGTGGTGTTTCACCTTTAGATTTGAATTAAGGATATGAATCAGTGCAGAGTTTAGTCTTAAGTAGCCTATGAATAGTAAAAGACAATTTTACAGTTCAATGGGCCAAGCACCCGGGGGGTTCACTGTGTACAAAATTTGGCAGGGGTCCTAGGCTGAACCCTCAGATATCAATATATTCCCATACCAAAATGTCAAATTTGAATGTGTTCCCATACCAACCGATATAGTGCCCAAAAGCCATCCTAAATGCCCAAATATAAAACCAATGCCATACCAAATGTCAAAAAAATATAGGACCAATGCCATGACTGGTCCAAAGTAGAATATTTCCTGGGAAAAAGGCTATTTATTTAAACTGAAGAAGGTCCCAAGAAGAAGGCGATCTTTGAGGAAAACGAACCAAAACAACCTCATATTAGGATATGTGTAACTACTAGACCAATTCCATACCATAATTGTGATGACATATTTTCCATGACCATTCTCATACCAGAAAGTTGAAATATCTGACCATTTCCATCCTTAAAAGTGTAATGAGGGGGAATTCTCATACCACATCCTAAAATTTGGGTCCATTGCCATACCAAATGTCCAAAAAGGTACCCCATGTGCGCCGAGGATCCCCGTCAAGGTTTATATACAGTGAACCCCCCGGGGCCCAGCACTTGCTACATCTACATTTTATGTAGTTGAATCACCAATTGAATAGTTTTATCGGCAGATCGAAGAGATTTTCGTTTTACATCGGGAAATATTTCAGCACTTTTCAAGATGTCAGAAGGGGAATCCCCTTTTACTAGATGGTGGAATTTTGAGATTAAAAATGAAATTTTCCTCAAGGTAGTTGAAAATTGTAACGAGGTAGGTATTTCATGTGTGCAATGCATAGTATTTTCTCGAATATCGTAGAAACATTGACTGACCAATGGTTCGCGCGTACGACCCCAACGTAAGTGTAGTATGTATCCAACAGACTGACTAGAAGTCAGTCTGTTATGATGTACTACTTTCCTGTGGAAATTGCAGTGAAATTTTTTGCACAAAATTATCAATTGGAGGAACAATTTGTTCAATAAAATAAACATTACAAAATCTCAATTAAATAGTAAGGTACAATTAAATCCAATAAAAAGTAACACAGCATATTGTTAAGTGGAAATAAAGCTAGTTGAAGTATCAAATGTGAAAATTAATTTTACCCAATCGGCCATTTTGAATAGCACTTCCTATGTAAACAAATATCTACAATTACCAAACTTTAGCATAGGTGCCTTATAGTCTGAATATAATTCAGACTAAATAGGATATAGTCTAAACGTAAGTGGGGTCGTAGCATACAAGGGTAAATTCTATTCTGCTATAAAATTATCTGTTCTAAAGACTTGTTTATCATTCCGTTCCCACATTTTTGTTCAGGCCTTTCTCTAGTTTGAATTGTGAGGGCAGAATTTATCTAGTTCAAAGACCATGCAAGACCAAAATCAAAAAGATGACTATCACGTCTTGGGAGTCATCTTACCTTCACATTTGTGGCACTAATATGAATTATTTTGTATTCACTGAAGAGTTCCCTTAATTCATCGATACCATGTTACATCTGTACATGGTTGTAGGCTACATATCCATGAAAAGTTAATCTAAAGACCACATCGGGTTTATGCCCCTCCCACTGGGCGATAATATGTGAAAATTTAAGAATCTGTAATTAAGACCTTGATATCTGCAAAATAATCATATTTTTATTCGATATTATAAGTCTCTACACTAAAACAACTACTTACCTACATAGATAGTTTGATATGATTCCTCGATTTAGAACATTTGACGGGTAATTTATGAAAATTATTGCACGAAAATATCGATTGAATGATTTCCCGTTTTTTCTCGTCCAAGTAATATTTCTCGCGAGAAAATCTCATGGACGAAAACGTTTGAATAACTTTAAAAACCCGGGGAATTCAAAAGTTAAAGGTTGTAATATAAAAATTATCAATTTGAATCTGCAAGCGTTTTTCACGCCGTTTCAAAGCCTTATTGAAGTGTGTTGCACGAGCTACATTTGTCCAAATTTTTACTGGCTAGTTTCCAAATACCACACGTTGTTGTGATGTTTTAATCGGGTGCACCCCAGTTGTCCGAAACCCAGTTGTCCGAAACCCAGTTCTCCGAAACCCAGTTGTCCGAAACCCAGTTGTCCGAAAAATTTAGTCATAATTTACCAGATAAAGGGGGACGCACCTCAAGCCAGTTTCATGTCATGTATTTGGCAAAATTAATGGCATGGACGCATTCTGATGTATAGATCTCTCTCTCACTTTGAATTGCATCCATTACACGGCGTTACCAGAATGACAGGAACGGGGGATTTATTTTACATTGTGATTCTAAAAAAGGTCATCAAAACACAATATATATTACGGAACAGTTGATCTTATCTTATTCAATACATTTTATATAGGCAAAATAAAATGAAACATTTTGAAACCGATAAAATAAGTTAACGCATAAAACTTTAAGAATAAACAGTACACATATTACGTTGTCAAAATGTTTCGTCGCATTTAATTTCTTAGTCTCTGTCTCTTATCAAATCGTAAAATGTAAAAGAACAAAACATTCTAAACGTAATCACTTGGGATTAACTGGAAACGAGAAGACAGGCTGTCCTCGTATCAAATTGGATGTTCTCCCATTCGCAAGAAGTTTCATTTTCGCCATGTACTCACTTCATCTTTTTGAATTTAATCTCTATTTCTCGAACAGAGTACCTAAATGAAGAATAATTTTTGGTTTCAAAAGATGTACACGACGTCAACTTTACTAAATAAATGCCCACTGGCTTGGGAAAACTATTTCCCTTTTATGAACGCCCATCACGCATTGGAAAAATGTTGTTCCCTCTCAAAAAGCCCCATGGGGTATAAAGAAAATTGGTTTAAAGATTGTAGACCCCTATTTTGAATTAATCTTTGTGAAATTCAAAATAGTCAAATGCTGTTTCAACATACTTGGATTCTTTTAAAGCAATCCAAAAATAAAAAGTGGCCAATTTCAAATACAAACTTTTACATTACATTCTACCATGCAAACAATTACTTCCAGGGGCGGATCTGGGAACAAACAAGGGGGGCAAATTCAGGTCAGAGAAAAAACTTCCATAAAACCCAAAAGTTGGCCAAAATTTTGAAATTTTGAGGACCGTTTTCTTAAAAATTTGGCCTGAAATTGAAAAATAAGGCCTTAAAAGGCCCAGTATTGACCAAAAGGGCCTTTTTAGGCTTTTTTCTGGGTTCGCCAGTGACTCCTAAGATCATGATGGAAACTAATTGTTAATGACAAGTGTGATATTTTCAGACAAGTAGAATCAGGCCCGTAGCCAGGATTTTCCAAGGGGGGGGGGTCAGTTTTCAAAAATTCGCAGGGGGGTTCACATTTGACAATTTAGGCCCAAATATGGTCAAAATCACTTGAAAAGTGCTAAAAATGGTGAAAAACTGCATGATTTTGAAAGAATTTTTGGCCAGGGGGGGGGGGGGGGTCAATATCATAGAGTAGGCCTACTAATGTAATAGACCCACCTGAAAATTATATCATTTTAAGCAATATATTGGGCAGACTTTCTGAAAAAGTCAAAAGATTCTGTTCAGTGACCTTTCCTGAGCACCTACTCTTAGCTGTTTTTCAGGCACATTTTCAGAGGGCTAAAAAGGTTATTTCATCATGTTTATGGTCATTCTGACCATTTCCGTTGTGTTCCCGGTCATGTAAATGATATGTGGAACTAGTTAAACTGACTGGAGGTCCAAACAGAACTCTGTTATCTTGGTTCAAAAAATTTTCAAAATCCAGCATGGCTTTGTCACTTCCTGTTTTGTCATTTCCTGTTAACTTCCATAGCACCTTAAAACTCCCTGTCTGCATTGAGTATAGTTATTTATTGTCCGGTGTATAACTTTTGAAACATTATCCTAATTTTTCACAAAACTTTTTTTGATTCTGCAATAGTTAATGGTTGACATCTATGGCACACTAAAAACGAATTTTTTTATGCAGGGTACGTACATGATACAGATCAAATCTTGGCTCTACTACAAACTATTACACACTTACTTCAACAGTTCAATATATCGCAAAACACAGTTTTGATTTTGAACAATATCACCAATGGGAGAAATTCTTAAATCTAAATGTTTGGAAAGGAATACGTTTCTACTAAAACATACAAACCTCTTATATTATGATGAAAAAAGGATAGACATCTGATATGTATATATGCCACATATATAAGTTATACGAAATGAGCATATTTTATTAATTTATCGAAAATTTGGACGAAATCAATGGGTGGTACAAACCCAAATCTTCTTTTTAGATATTTTTCAGGGTAGAAATATTATCAATTGATATTGGAAAACATAATTAACCATATTTTATTGAGAAAAGGGAATGAAAAAAATTATCAAATGAATATATATAATTGTCACGGACGTCCATACGTTATTCTAATGAGATAGATATTCCTTTCGCCAGAATATTCTCTTCGACTGTGATAATTGTCTAAAATGTTGGCGGCAGTCTTGAATTTTCACCAAGAAGGAGTGCGATTCGTGCTGGACAATGCGGTTCAAAATTTGTAGAATGTCCATATAAGTCTATGTGCCGAGAATCTAGTAAGAATATATATATGATCGTGAACTTTCGGACCCATTATTGACCGGGCTAACCGATGTCAACGTGATACCAATGCTGTCCTGATTCGCGAAGTTGCGACAAGATTCGTTACTAAGACATTTAATTTTTTAATTTTCGGAGAACTGGGTTTCGGAGAACTGGGTTTCGGAGAACTGGGTTTCGGACAACTGGGTTTCGGAGAACTGGGTTTCGGACAACTGGGTTTCGGACAACTGGGTTTCGGACAACTGGGTTTCGGACAACTGGGTTGACCCCGTTTTAATCTATGTTATCATATTCCATATCTTTCTTTATCTTGATGATGTGAAGTTATAAAAATTAAACTGTGATATTGGTTAACACGACAGAAATGAACATAATTCAAATATATTCGAACATATTCGAAGAGTATTAAGAAAATCTTGAAACTAGCCATTGAATGACGACATTTGCTGTCGATTTGACCACTGCAACCATGTCTTCTTAATGCACATTTACACTTGTCTTCTCTGAACCATGGTGTTTATCCCCCTTCTTGACAGAGTGGGAGCAGTTACAATGACCCCGACTTTCAGCAAGTGGCAGAACATTGTACAGTGTATCTAATGTGTGGAATCAGCAGTTCAATTACAATAAGATTGTCATTTTTGGACTTCTTGGATTTCTTGAAAGTACGATTATCAGGCCCGTAGCCAGGATTAAATTTCCAGGGGGTTCACTTTTGGCAATTTTGGCCCAAAAATGGCAAAAACACTTGAAAAGTGCTTAGAATGATGAAAAACTGCATGATTTTGAAAGAATTTTTGGCCAGGTGTTTACATATGATAAGTATCGTTTTTAGTGTTTTTAAACACTAATCATTTGCAAAACATTATTTTGGGGTTGTGTTAAAAATAAATTCCTTGGGACATTTTCAGGGATATCTAACAGATTTCATTTTTGGCACACTGGCCACATTTCATTTTTTGTCCTTAAAGGCCCCATGTAATGTTTGAAAATAAGTTTTTATCATTTATTTACCATTTTTCATGACTTTAAAAGCTACTTTAGAGAAAAAAATATTTTGAAAAAAGTTGTCAGCTTTCCATTTTTCGATATAGGCCTATTCAATATTCTATTCCCGCCATTTTCAAATAAAAGTTATAATTTTCTAATCATCAAATATTCCACTATACAGTGACTATTCCACTATGACCATCAACCTCTGTCAGATTTCCCTCCAGTTGGTCCCTGTCATATATGGGGGCTTTAAATCTGTCTAAATCGCATAAATATCTATGTGTTTCCACCTAAATTGTTTCATGGTTTCCAGGTAAATTCTTTTTGTGAAATACTAATGATCATTTTGGATTTTCCAACCTGAAATCTTGTCACTTTCAACTGTTGGATTGGGGACATGTTTTTATTTACTCCTTATCTATATTTGTGATTATTGTAGAGCAGTAATGTCACAACAGTAAAAAACATAACACTTGATTATAGATTGCATGCCATTTTATAGCACATTTGTCATTCAAAATACATGTAAGCACAAAAGTGAAATTAAACACATTAAATGGTACAAGAACTTTTATCAAATATTTCAACTAGAAAAGCAGCAATCCCAGGGGTAGAAAATCCCAACAAACAAAATATGTTTACTCAAATTCAAATCATAATGAGCTGAATGTTCCCAATACTACGTTTCATATCTCAGATTCTTAGAAGTACTAATCTGAAACACATATCACATTTGATATCTATTTCAATAAAATAGCACAAATACATAATTTCGAGATATCTCCTCAATTTTGCATATAACATTTTACTATTGTTCATCTTTTAACAAGATAATAAGTACAAATGATAGATAGGACTGACTGACTGACTGACTGACAGCTTCATTGTATCCCAAACTTTGTGAGTTGGGATAATATAAATACAGTGAATTCCAAAATGTCTATGAAAGTAATAAATTATGAAAAATCAAAAATGAATTCACAAAAATGCTCTTATGAATAGATCACACCAAACGTCATTGACATTACAAGAACAAAATAATTCTAGATACTATACTTTACAGATAATATATATATACAAATACATTCTCTTTTTTATTAACATTTTATTTTATCACTGTCAAGCTAAATATACTCAATATAATCAAGTTATGCTTAAACACTGATGAATACATCAACAGTGGACTTAACCTCTGTGGTTGTTTGCAATGAGAACACTCTTGACCTTCACTGAATGAAATAAACCTATTTGAGAATTCCCAGGAGTGGTGAATACAATTGGTTACTTACACAGCTATGATGCCCACTGAATATCGCCTGATCTTTCATGACATGTGACCCAGTTTTGACCAATCAGACAATTGCAAGCTTGACAGTGATATAATAATTTTATGTATTTGGTCTGAAATTTGGGAAACATAGTTTTGAATAATTTCATGAATTAGACCCCTGAGTAATGAACATGATAGACATGATACAGGATACATGTATATAATTGTGCGATTTCATTCTCATGCTCGTAATTTTGTTTTTTACAAGGATGGATTCATTTGTTGGACGGAATGTTACATAATGTCACACCTTATTTCATAAGATGGGCACATTCACTATATTTCTATAAAATGGAATGTCTATGAATGTTCCTTTCCTTAGAGAAAGTATGAAGAGAACATATTTAGCTAAGAGATTTCAGGGCTCTGATGTTTTTGGTGATCGATTTTTGTTTTACTATGTAACTCTTTACTTTGTTGATTTCTAAATATTTTAACCCCATGGACCAAATGGCAAGACATTTCTATCATACTGAAATGACATTCTAGCAGATAAGGGTCCACTCCAAGCAGAGACATACAATTCTTGGATCATGCAGACCTCCATGATTTGGGTGATATCAGCATTATGAAGTCGAGGTGTTCCTAAATCCTCATTATCTATATATAAATCTTCAATCAAGTATAATCACCAATAATCATCAATTGACTGGTATAATTACACAGGACAAATGTTATTGAAAAATGGAGACGATTCTGGTGAAATTGTCCAAGTTATAATTTGCATTGGACTTTCATGTAAGAGCGGTGTATCTTTCTGCTATGTTATCTATTAACAGTTATTTGGTGATCCACAGGAGCAACATCTCAACCCTTGTCGGAGAATAACACACACAAACTTCAGTTAAGCAAGGGTTAAGTTTCTATGGAACTTCTATATATTACAGCCCCCTTTAGAACAGACATGGTTGAGGGTTTTATGTGCCTCCTTTACGCCATTTGCAGCAGCATGGTTTATCAACTGATGGGCTTCCCTGCAAATATAACAACACACATACATGACATAATGGTAAAAAAGGAGATTCCATTATCTATAATTCAGCTGAGATTCATTATTCAAGCATTACAGGGTTTAATATCAATTTTATTCCCTGTTTATTTCCAAGGGAAAACATGTTATTATGGAATAATCATTGATGTTACATACATGTACTGGTCTACCAATGCTGATACAATTTACTTTAATACTCTTAAACTGATGCTGTACCTTGATTCACTCTTACATATTTACTCAACAATTTTTGCAAAAATACTGCTATACATTTAACCCATCCCCTTCTTCCTCTGGCTATATACCATGAAGCAGCTGATAAATAACTAAAATGTTAATGAATCTAGTCTAATCTAGGTTATCTTACCCTGGTTTAAGGGATGTTTTGATGCCCTTCAGGTGTCCTATAGCCAGGTTGTAAGATGCATGGGGATGCCCCTGGTCTGCTGCTTTCCTGAAATAGTACCACAACAAATTGTTAGCAACTTACATATCAATGATTTAGATGAAAAGTAGTAGGCCAAAAGGACATGTATGAAATCCCTTTGAACATTTATAGGCATGGTCAAACAGTCTTCAATTTCATTTTACAATGCAAAGTGCGAGCTTGGTTGCTCTTAGTAGTGAAGGCACAGCTACATGGATGTAGCCAGGGGTGGTGCAATAGGTGTAATTGCTTTGCTCACAGTGATGCAAACCTCAAAAAACTTAGCAATTGAGTGTGCATGTATAGACTTACTGAAACCACTCCATTGCTCTTTCAGGATGTTTCTCCACTCCTACTCCTGAAAACACATTGAAATAGATAGTATATTCACTATATTACCAGATTGCTCTGAGACGCAGTTCCAGACTTCAGGATACAATTCTGTCATTGTATTTACTATTTAAAGCGATGATTTACACTTTGACTCTAGGAGTACAAATTAATCACTTTTTGATAAATACTGTTTTGCTAAGTTGATAAAATCTTCTGAATCAGAATCAGAAGTAAAATATTTGCAATCTACTCTTATAACTAAAATATAAAACATTTAACATTAAATAAACAAATAACATCTACACCACTGAAAGATATCCCCTAGAGATAATTTTCCCTTATATGAAACTATATGTGGCCCTTACTAGTGGTGGGATTTACTACTCAATTCATAAATTACATTGATGATTGGCTAGTGCTGAACAACTAAACTGAATTAAAGAAAGTGGGAAAATAACCTCAAGGGACATCTCTCCCCTGCTACAAGTATACCTTACATTTAAAAACATGAACATCAAAAAACTTAAATATTATACAAAATACCATGCAAATATCTTTGTCCAACAAAGTGTTGAGCGTGGTCATATCCAAGATGTGCGTAACTATTTACAATGTGGAAACTAACATGGTTGAAGAAGAAGAAGGCGTAGATAGAAAAAATAATGATGCTAAAAAGAACTCCATTCTAAAATTAAAAGAAGAATTCCATTAGAAAATACTTTTCTCAAGCTAGTATGAACATGTAGGATTAAGCCAGCGGCTACTACAGAAAGTCAAAAATATATGAATTAGATTACTAATACTATATTTGCAATTATATGTACTGTATGTGAGACTTTCCTTGTCTATCTTGTATACCCGGTTTAAATTGAATAACTTCAGAACTTGTGGCCATTTTAATTTGCTTATGTGATTGGTAAATATTGATGTGATGGATGTCATAAGTTGCATTTTTGAATAATTTGGCATGAGAGCCTGGCTTGACAGAACACTTGATTACTCCAAACTCATTATATGCATGTTCATGTACTAGTATGTAAGAACATTGTTGTTTCCAACACTGAACACTCAGATTCCAGGGCAATTGAGAAAGATATTCCAAAATTAAAGAGTTGCATTTTATGTCACATTACAGTGTATTTATAAACAAGGCACATGAAATTCAAATGTAAGTCTTTATTTTGCCCAAAAATGTTGAAAATACACAAAATGGGCCTTTAACAAATACTGTTTAGACTGACTTCAATTTTTTTCGAAATCATCTACAAGTTTTAAGAAGTTCAAATCTAACTTTATATTTAAGATTTGACCTTCCATGACCTTTTCAAGGTAAAAAAGGTTAAGAAAGGTCAAGAAGGTATTTTTTCAACTTGCTTTTTCAAAATCATCTACAAGTTATCGGAAGTTCAAATGTGACTTTAGATTTGATATTTGACCTTCAAGGTCCAAAAAGGTCAATTTTATCAACTTGCTTCAAATTGAACAATTTTTTTCAAAATCATCTACAAGTCCTCAGAAGTTCAAATCTGCCTTTAGATTTGAGATTTCACCTTCAATGACATTCTGAGGTTCTGAGGGTCAAAAAAGGAATTTTTTCAACTTGCTTCAAACTGACCGATTTTTTTTTCAAAATCATCTCCAAGTTCTCAAAAATTCAAATCTGACTTAAGATTAAACTAATAATATATTGTTAGCAACTAGGTGGTGACACTTTGTCATGTTAATGCCTTGTTTTATGAATGTACAGGTATAATAATATATGATCATCCACAGGTGTAAAGGTGCGTATTTGCTACAAACTTACATTTGAATTTCATAGTATGTCCAATGTATTTATAAGAACCTTAGCTTTCATTTGACACCGACAACAACTTAAACAGACCACATTAAAGCTTACAATAAATTATCTAAAAATAATTTTCAACTGTCAAGCTTTATGTATCAAGTTTTATCAAAAGATGACAAAACTGTTTGTATTACATGCTACATTCATATTTATAGAAGTGTCGCCATCTTTTAAATCAAGAGCAATTTAAAACATGCACTTTATTTAAGATGTGCATGCACTTCTAATGATCTCTGAACTTCAAATGCTTTTTTCTATGTAAGTTATTTTTTTCTTGGTTAAATATTAAAGCAAATAAAACTTTGTGTCATATTTGAGCGAGTGTGTGAGTAACATGTTTCAATGATTATTTTTTACTTTATTCTTCTAAATTAAGTATAGTGGTCCTCTAAACTAGTCCAGCTACAACCCCTTGTGAGCTCCCCCCCCCCCTCCCCCTCCATACCTCAATGTGTGTAGTCAAGTAGTTGGAGGGGGTAATGGGCTTGTAGCTAAACTACTTTTCAATTATGTGGTGAGTTAAAGGTCTGTGAAGTAGAAGTAAGAAAATAAATTAATATGAATTAAATGATATCTGTTGAAAGAAAATAGCAATAGATACAATTAAAAAGAACATAATACATTTATAACATTGTCTGCACAACTATAGGGTGGGCCAAAAAGGTAGTACTGTACATGTTTATATTTGTACAGTCTGGACCATAAATAAATGAGTCATGGATTTGCTGAAGTGAGGATTTCCCATGTTAAAAATAAAAGAATTTTCAAGAGGTCATACATCAGTGGATGAGAGTATACAAAATGTAAAATATACAAATTTTGGGGGATATGTGTCAAATATAAATTATGCCAAATTGAAGACTGTGTGCAATGAATGGGTATGGGAAGTTACTCAGTTATAAGTGACATTACAATTTGCAACACAAACAAATCAATGAAAGTATACATTATGTGGTGTTATAAGAATAACATGCCTTCTTTCAAATAACGTACTTGTGCATAATGAATTTCCATTGAAAAGTTAATTATCTATTCAGTGGCATGTAGGTACATGTATCTCCTACGCATAGTTCTGGTAGCATTATGGAAATGGGCTACATGTAAATGTACAATCGAACTACTATTTTGGCCTAGCCTACTTCTGTCTAAGATTAAAATAAAATACAATAATTACTCAAGTTGTAGAAAACCACTTCTTGGTAAGAAAATAAAGCAAAATAAAATACCATCTTGATACAATACAGAAACACCAAGTCTGTGGAATGTGGATATAGCAAAACATACACAATTGAATTTACAACAACATATAATGTAGTCTATGTTCTATACCATGGAGATATCTCTGACCCACTTGGTGTTGGGCAGAAGAGTATCCTAGATGAGCATAGCCATGGTTCACATGGAAGTGGAGGTGGTCAAAGTTGTAGTATGCATATAAACAAAATAAGAATGTTCCCAGAAGAGCTACAGCCTGAAATGATGAGAGAAAGGGAAAATTAATGGGGAGAGCACTGATGTTACATAACTGGAGATGGTCATGCGGAATTCTGATTTTTCTTTATGGCTAGAGGTTAGGGTTTAGGATTATGGTTAGAATTAGGGATTAGGGTTTACGAATACAGTAGGTTTTGAGTTGAAGTATCTTCGGACATCTCCATTTGTGTGCCAAAAACAGTGACCCTAATTAATGAGGTTTAACAATAAAAGATCAGGGCTACAAGTATAATATTTACAACATATGATTGAAAATTCTGATTTTTAAAAATACTTTAGTATAAATATTGTTGTATTGAATTAAGAAAATCTGTGTCAACAGAGTACATGTACATACATGTACATGTATATTGTACATGTAGGAATTGAAAAACAAATCAGTCCATGAACTCGAAGATGCCTCATATTAGGGCCTTATATCATATTGGATGGATGTGTATTCCAATACTGTGCAGGTAAGAATCTTGCCTCTACAACTCTACAACTAATCAAATGTTTTACAACAAAGGCCATGTTTACCTGATAAATCAATAACTTCTTCAATAATTTATACTACACACTTGTTCTAGATTCTAGAATTTTACAATGCAATGCAATGAGAGTTTGACACGTATACTTATTTTTTTCTTGTTCTATACTCTTTCATAATATACAACCCTAACCTTAAATGTTTCTCAATGGTTTATATTTTGAAAATTACAATCATAATCGTCCCTCTCATTGACCTTACAAATGCTGTTCTAAACAGATATTGATGAGTGAAGCTCTTTGAGTTTTGTCACTTTCTAACGCACATACCTCCAAAATTTTGACCCACATTGGGTCTGGTTTCTTCCTCCTGGCAAGATAAACCTTTCCTCCATATGGTAGACTATGATCATATGACGGATCAGTAACATTAGGTTTAGAATCATCGGCTAAAAGCCGCTGCCTCATCTCGACGTCCGGATTCATCATTTCGATTTGTTCTCTATTTCACTGCTGCCCTCTATAACAAAAAAACTAACCGATCAATATCTATTAGTTTTATCATACAATGTCTCTTCGAGGCGTCATGTATACGAAAGTTACTTCGGTCCAAAGCCTTCTCTATATTCCGGCTTTGAGGAGGAAGATTGAGCTGCCTTAGTATTATAAATATTGTAAATCATTGTGTCACACGCACAGTAAATATGGCATAATAATCACGGACATCTAATACGTTCTTCGAATTGCCCTGGAACTATATTTATACCAGGACTGGCATCCAGATCCAAGTATTTTTAAGACCGCCGACTCTCGTTGGGCTATTTATCCCTATTGACTCAGTTGTTCATATAAATTTACGTACCTTAGATGCTTTGTAATCGACGTAGATAGAAAATATTGTTTCCTAAATTGTTCTGGAAAGCGATAATTATAACTAAATGTACTTTGAACAGGTCGACTGACAAAAAAGCCGGGCTTCTGACACGTCTCGTTCTCGCTCTCAAACAAAACGTGAAGAACGTGACGTCACTTCCGAATCATAGCATTCAAAATAAGTAGCGTTTAAATCGCAATACCATATGTAATATATCGGTGGTCTAGGGGGAGAATCCTCGCTTAGCACGCTGGAGGCCCGGGTTCGAATCCCGTACTCGCTCTTTTTTTTTTTTCGAGGTCGTTATCTTCATCGTCTAGTTTACGAATACCAAATGTCGATGTGATGTTTTAATTGATAAATACGAATTCCTTACACATTTCGTTATCTTATTGTGAAATAGCAAACTAAGAGATATCTTTACTCGCTAGGAATTAACATAATATTATTTGAAGCGATTTTAGAAAATTTTGAAACCGCCATCTTGGTAATATTGATGACGTGATCACCATCGGTCAAGGTCAGGTCAAAAGTCATCCATCTTGCCATTTGCCCGGCGTGTTCTTACCAGTCGACAAAAAACGATGAAATCACGTTGAAAATAAAATATACACTTTAAAATTGAGGCTGATCGAATATGACAAGACTCCATTGAATACAGCTGTGCAATTTACAGTCACCAAGATGAGCTAATTTCGGAGAGATTCGGGAATTAAAAAAGGTAAGCACTTCCGGTTTCCCAACTTAAAAGTATTTGAAGTCCCAGAATTTCGCCAGAAACATTCTCTCTGACTGTGATAATAATATGAAATATACCTTTATGTATAGATTTGAAGAACATCAGCTCACATCCCCGTCTGAATCTATTGTTATATTTGATTTCTTTAAGCGAGAATAATTTCAAATGTTATTCACGTCCAGAACCGGAAGCCATTTTTAGCTACAGCGAGAAAATTTCACCATGTGTCAAACTCCGAAATGAAATTTTGAAATATCTAAATCCAGACAAGCAACGCTTCATCCTAAATATGATTAATATTCTTAAAAATATTTATAAAATTTATTTAAAATGAGTTCTAGGTGCGTGTAGGTGCGTGTAGCACAGTACATACGAAATCAATGAAGTTTCGTCTAGCTGTAAGCTAGAGACTCGAGTAATACGAAAGATACTGTCTGAAGTGATTGCAATATATTATTTCTGATCTCAAATATGTCGAAATGACGTTAAAGTGTTGTTGATCGAAGATTCAAGTTAGCCTAAAACTTTGTTGTTCATTTTGACAGCTCTTTCCTAACGAGAATCAGCTATCATTATTTTTAAAGGTGTCACTCCACTAAAAGTAGCAACACCAAATTACCGTTTTACGCTTCGAATATCTAATAATAGGGAGATTAAGATCAACGATTTTTGAACGTGAACGTGTAGATATTTATGGTAATCTAGGGATTAGTTCTGCCTTGGAAGTAATAACTTGCCAAATTCGATATATATGGAATAAGGTCACTAGTGGAAAAACAGTAATCCTCGACTGTCATAATATGTCTATTTCAATAATCTGAAAAATAATAAACCCATATTAAGCAGATAAATAATTTAATAGTGATAGACTTTGAATAGAATATAATTCAAAACCTTAACATTTAAAATAGCTCTATGGTTTACAACTCATTTTAAAATTAAATTGAAAGGCACCTTCCTGGTTGGCACATGTACACAACGATGATGAAACATAGACCACCGGTCTGATCCAGGGTTTTGAATAAATGGATAAAAATATAGCATGTTTGGTGACTTTGCTTAAGACACCTGAACACATTTTCCTCAGGCATTTAATAATCATTATTGAAGAGAATAATACATTTAATAAGGGAATACAAAAGTTATTCGAAAAAAGCACATTATGAATATAAAAAAAACACAAAAAAAATACTTTCTGTCATAAACCATTGGTCAAAAATCATGGGTCAAATTCATACTGAACATAATGTAATGTTATGTGCGTTCTCTAATCATGATTCAAAGTGACTGACAAGAATGAAATTGGACTTAATATAATAACTGAGACATCACTCAAAATATGACATTATAGACCACAACGATTGTGCGTTTTTTCATCCTGATTTAATAACAAGTTTTAATCATGACCTTGTAAGTGTTATAGTCATTGGATTCCTGATACTTTAGTTTTATTTTCCTCTTCTAATTTTGCAACTATTTATCTTAATGTAAGACTGACAGCGGACCACCGACTGCCGACGTATACCTCGGCGGTAGGACTTAAACCCATTGTCAGCACCATCTATCTAATATCTGAATAATTAAGATTGATAGTGCTCACTGTGTTTAAACCCACAGATAATGGGAAGTTCTCCATACTGGTGTCTTCCCATTTCGCCCCTTCCCACTCTGCCCCTTCCCATTTCGCCCCTCATTTATTCCCATTTGGCCCCTTCCCATTTGGCCCCTACCCATTTTGCCCCTTCCCATTTTGCCCCTTTCCCATTTCGCCCCTCTTCCATTTCATCCCCTGTCCCATTATGCCCCCTTCCCATTTCACCCCTCATTCCCCCTTCGCCCCTTACCATTTCGCCCCTTCCCAATTGGCCCCTTTCCCATTTCGCCCTTCACATTTCGCCCCTAATTGATTTCCATTTTCGCCCCTACCCATTTCGCCCCTTCCCATTTCGCCCCTTTCCCAAATATGATTGGTCAATGCGATGTTTAAGTAGGCGGAGCTTAAAGCTGGCATGCAGCTTGCATCTCCTTATATGTTACCAGTTCCGACACAAGGGGCGATAGACAAGGGGTGAAATGGGAAAGGGGCAAAATGGGACTGAATGAGGGGCAAAATGTGAAGGGTCGAAATGGGAAGGGGCCAATTGGGAACAGGCAAAATGGGAAAGGGGCAAAATGGGACTGAATGAGGGGCAAAATGGGAAGGGGCGAAATGGAAAGGGGCGAAATGGAGAAGGGGCGACATGGGAAAGGGCGAAATGGGAAGGGGCGATAAGGGAATGGGGCGATATGGGAAGAGGACAACACGGGAAAGAGGTGAAATGGCAAAGGGGCAAAATGGGAAAGGGGCGAAAGGGGAAAGGGGCCAATTGGGAAGGGGCGAAATGGGAATAAATGAGGGGCAAGATGGGAAGGGGCGAAATGGGAAGGGACGAAATGGGAATAAACCCTCCATACTGTATATATACTGAATATTCCAGGTTTGGCATTATGAATCAGAAAAAAACTGGCTCCGCCCTGAAATATAGTTATTCCCTGACATTATAACTGGCAATAAATTCGTAATCCATACTATTGAAAGGTTTATACTTATATCCCGATCCCCTGTTATGTGTTTTGAATTTTCTAGTTATGGAATAAGACCAAATCTTGCGATTAAAATTCTGAAGCAGGAAAAATATTCAAAATTGGCGCATTTGAATTTGTAATTACGACATCCTTTAATCGGCCTATTCACTCACGACAGGCAGAGCAAGTTGCAATTCTAAATTCTCAGATTTGGCTCATTATTTGACCGATAAAGCCAGTTTGAGGTGAGAAAAAATTGTACTTTTCCTTGAAGTATCATCTTCATGTTTTAGACGAAAGTAGTTCTATTAAAAACCTGTTTAGGGACTACAATGGTATACTACAGCACCATCTTTGGATACAATACTCTAAATTGCAGGCATATAATGCCCAGAATAACTGGAAAACATTTGATCACAACAGTGAACGGTAAAATATTTGGGATTATTTTCTGCGGATGGATGACCTTGACAGTGGTGAATTGGTCATAAATAGGATGATTGGTACTTCAATTATGTATGAGAGCAGAACTTATGATTTTCGTGGGATATTTTGGTTGAATTTTTTCACATGAAGGTGAGATGCTGTATTTCTCTGAAATTCTTTCAAAATCGATGAGCTGCGATTTGAAAAATTCTAATTTGAACTTTGTCAATTTATTATAGTTCTACCGTCCACCATCCGAACAATAGTGGAGTTACACCTATTTTTCAGTGCAGAAATATGGCAGAAAAAGTTTTACGGTCTGACAAAAACTCAGAGAACAACACAGAGTTTTTACCATTAAAACGGATAGCAGGAGCTTTCAATACATCAATTAACGAGGAACAAGCATGGGCTGTATGTTTCCAGTGTTCACAATGCTTATTAAATCGGTGGCAAGACTTGAAATACTGCACCATCAACTATCACACAATCCATGTTTTCAAAGATGGGAAAGTTTGTTTTGATAGTGGAGCTAGATCTACTATCTCAGGTCAAGGCAAGTATTATTATTAAATTTATGTTACTTTTAAATGAATTCTGAGCGATACAAATAACAAAATATTGCTTCTTGGATGAGATCATGGGCTTTCAAGAGAAAGAGAGAAATCAAACGACTTTGTCATTCAGTATGCATACTCTTCACTACAGGCATACCTATTTTATAATTTAGCAATCAACAAAAGTAGGCCTATATATCTATACATACCTTACTTCCTGCGAAAGCTATAACTTATGTGTATTTTGATTATCTATGCCTATAGTCCTGAGAATGTCTCAATCTTTTGCCTGTACGATTACAATTAATGGGAGAATTTTCTTCGCCTTTTACACTTTTAATAAGATACCTACTTCAATAATTCCCTTGGTATTTTAGCATTCTTTTCGTGTAGTTGAATCCAAAATTATCTGGGTTTATCGGCAGAACGAAGGAATTTTCGTTTTTGATCGCAATATTTGCGTGTAATATTTAACTTACATGTATTTCAACCATGGGCTTTCAACTAGAAAGCCCATGTTTCAACTGTTCAAATTCCTCCATTTATTGGTACTTCCGGGCGAGTTAAATGGGGAATCCCCTTTTAAATCCAACTGCCATCTTGAAAAGTGATGGAATCTCTCTCGATGAAAAAGAAAAATGTTCCTGTTCTGCCGATAAACCCAGATAATTGTGGATACAACTACACAAAAAGAATGCTAAAATACCCAGGAATCTATTGAAGTAGGTAAGAGGCGTAGAAAATTCTCCCATGTTGTAATCGTACAGGCTAAAGATTGAGACGTTCTCAGGACTATAGTCCTGTATCCTTCATCAGTGGCATCCATCTTCGCAAGTTTTGGAATGCTGGAGTACTTTGTTGATCAAGACTTGTAATTGTTCATCGAGTGGATGTTCTTTCTGCCTTTTTCAATATGGCGATTTTTGCTCAGAAATTTACGTAAATCTCTGGAGGTTTTCCAAATGACCTAACTAAGAATGGTGGCATTTCCGGTAAAAGAAAATTTCAGATCTTCTTTTTTACGCCAAATAGAACGTTCGAACCAATTAACAAAAACGAGAAGAAAATAAAAAATTTCATTTACTAGAAATGCCACCATACTTAAGGTCAAAATCATAATGTTTGTCAGAAGTTCGAATGATCAATGTAATGAAATGATGTTATGTTAACACATAATATATTTTATGACATCCCGCCTCCTATGTTACGTTATGAAACTCAACCAAGCATGAGAGAAAATATTTCCATGTGCAGCCAATCATGCCTCATTCCTTCATGAGTTCCCATATCCATCTACCCAAAAGTAGACCGCTGTTTGGTCTCTTAATGAAAACATGTTGTTTTGTTTCAAAAAGCACCAGTGTTGGCTTCTATTGTACTTATTATGCCATAATTTGGACAATGAACACAGGGATGATCAAAAGATTTGTCCACTGTATGGGAGTCATTCAAAAAAAACACTAAAAAAAGTCTCAAATTATTTTTTGACTCATCAGTTATACCAAAGAAAATTACCTACTCCGAATTATGGTTATAACATTTGCAGATAACATTCGCTTCTGTTTGAAGTGCAACAACGCATAGAAATAAAAGGTGCCAGAGTGTCATACTCTAAAGTGTACCATTTCTTTTTTATTAACTCAAAATGGTTATTTCAGTATAACTCTGAATGTTTATATGAGATCTAGATGTATAAAAAGATTATTTTTTGTCAACTGTGGGGGAGCAGTTTCAAATGGGAAATGCAGATTCCTAATATATATTTTACAACTACACTTTAGACGAGAGAATGTGTCAATTTGGAAAAGGGTTGCTCTTCCAATTTAAATCTGATATAATAAGCTACAGCTGTAAAATGCCTGTTGAAATAACTTTTTAATGATGATATTATTTTTCAGGTCATGGCGACCCAGGAGAAGAAGAGGTAATTATTAATTTATTATTATTTCAGATGAAATTACTTCATTACATTTTTTGCATGGATTTGTTAATACCCATTGTTGCTATGATAATACAGAGAGGTTATTTACTGGGAGGGATCAAATAGGTTTTATGCAATGGTATTATATGATATTTCTCAGGGGACGGAGGTATAAAATCCATGTTCAGTTCTTTATCAGGAAATAAGTGCTTTATACCATCAGATTAAATGATTAAAGTTGTTTAAGGATTAACAACTATCACATATCATGTGTGTAGAGGAGACAATAGCTACTTTACTTCTTCCTGGTTATTTCCATCACATTATGTTCAATATGATGAATGTTTGACTTTCTGTCCTAAAATTTAGTCTGTTTGTATAAGATACTAGTTGATATAATCCAAACTAATGAAATGTGAACTGCATTCTTAGAAAACAATATTTATTAAGTATTGCTAATTTTGCTATAACTTTTGTTCTCTTGATTCTTCTTCGTGAAATTTTCAGAACATAAATAACACATATCTGACCTTATTCTGTTAAAATATCTGGACTATCCACTTAATCTTGACAAAAGTCATGGTTACTATGGTAACCATTATAATTACATTATCACATGTAGATCATGGCTTAAATAGAACATTATTTTATTTGTTGATACATGAAATATATGATATTTCAAAATCATAGAATATGTCATTTAAATAGTTCATAAACATCACAACATATCACTTATCGCACACCACATCAAAATATAACATAAACATCACCTCACAGCATATCACTTATCATGCACATCACAGCAAAATATAACATCAACATCACCTCACAGCATATCACTTATCATGCACATCACAGCAAAATATAACATAAAAATCACATCACAGCATATCACTTTGCAGCAAAACATAACATAAAAATACCAACATAAAACATGTCACAAGACAATATTTGTGAATATAAACATAACCGACATGCATGTACATTGTGTATGAAAAGATCAATTCATGCAACAATGCTATTTGTATACAGAATAGCATATCTTAATCTTGTGTGTATAGACTATAGACTTGGATCAATATATTGATGTTACCATTCCATTAAACATTTTCTCTCTTCATGCCTTTATTTTATGTTTTTTCTCTACAAGTGTTGGATTATACATATATATCTATAATTTCCTGTGTTGACCTCATGTCTTCTTCCTTGGTAAATTCAATTTGTGGTCATAATAAGGTTACAGAATTTACTCTTCAACTTTTCATGACGACTCTCCTTGAAAACATGGCCATGGGGGAATCAGAATCAATAATCATCATCTGAAAATACTTGAGTGGTTCTAAATTACATTCTGCCTTATCATAGCCCACATAGATAATGACTGCAGTCTAAAATACATTCACCCACTCAAGTTTTATTAACCAACTGTAACTGTAATATGAATTTGATAGAGGACTGTGTGTCAGTGCTTTACTGTCAAGGAAGCTAACTTATAAAATCTATATTTATTTTATGCCCTCCCCAACCATTTTTCTAAGAAGATGTTGAAATATTCCATATATAAATATATGTCCAATAGTCGACAATGTTTATTTATTAAAACTGATTTACCGAATGCTTAACCGGGTAATTTATCATTCATGGCAATAACAAATATATGTTAACCCTGAACATAATTCATATTTAGTTATTCACGTTTTATTACTCTATTTCATAATTAAATTAATAAATGTTAATTCAAAACAGTTTATAGACATTTTGAATAGAGAAACAAATTATTTATTAGATAATAATTTTTGACTATAATATTCAAATATTTAGTATACATGTATAATTTGAATTCAAATGAAGTTTCAGAAAACATATTATGTAATTAAAACAATTATAAAGGTAATTGTACTGTAGGAGAGAACCAATTATTGCAAGTTCAAAAGAATGATCACTTCTACAAAAAGTTTCATACAGCTATAGCGTGATTGTATCGGGAAAAAGTGATAAATTAAGGCATCAATATGTGTAACCATGCAAAGCCCAATCTCATTTATGATAAGTTCCTCTCCTTGAAACATGGTGCTAAAATAATCAATTTGTTTGATATCTCAGAACAGATGTAGTCTCTTGGGGGTAGAAATTCTAAGATTCTCAGCTAGATTACTTCATCCAAATAGAAACACAATAGCTGGATTATATCATTGATCTAATATCATGGATATGGAATATATATTGTCACCTTATGCCGATGTCACATTTGCTCCGATTTTCAGCAATGAGTAGTAAAAATCGGAGCAAATATGACCACAGCATTAAATGAAGTCATTTATGGTATATACTTATGATGTGAAATCCTTGTTGAAATGTAGGCCTCTCAAGGTCGGCCTGTAGGACAGATTTGGTATATTTCACATCTTAGCATATAACCTCTAGAAATATAAGTGTACTGCATTACCATGCTCTGTATTAGTGAACTTGCTGCTAGATCTTACCCCCCCCCCTTAATATGTATTTCTTTATTCTAAAACCAGAACTTATAACATTTTAGTAGAAATATTGTTCTCTAATTTCCTTGAAGTTAGATCTCATGAGATTGATTGGTTATGTAGCTATACTCTAGCTTAAATATTGAAAGAATTTAGAAATACATCAGGAACAGTATTATGCTCTTGAGTACTATCACAGGCTGGTATCGAAATATTTGTCCGCTGTGACGGAGCATGCTATTTTTCATAAAAACACTAAGAATACTTCACGATTTATTTTTTAACTCATATGTTTCGTTATACCATACAAAATTACTTACTCCATGCAATGGATATATCATTTGCGGGTAACTTTCACTTCTGTTTGAAGTCCATTTACGCTGGGAAGAAAAGCTATTGAAAATGGCGCCGGAGTATCATACTTCAAAATGTACCATTTCTTGTTTAACTTTCTAATGGCACGATATAGTGACACGATAATATTTACACATGGTTTCAGCATAACTATGAAGGTATAAATGAGATGTTGATGTATTTGGCCTTTTTAATTATTTTATAAAAAATAATGTTGCAAATGTGAACTGTGAAAATGCTCCGTCACAGCGGACAAAAAATATTAATATTATTTTTTATAAAAACATTAAAAAGACCCAATGCATTATTATCTCATTAATACATTCAGAGTTATGCTGAAAACATATGTTAATATTATCGGGTCACCATATCATGCCATTGAAAAGTTAAAAAAGAAATGGTACATTTTAGAGTTTGATACTCTGGCGCCGTTTTCAATAGATTTTACTCCTAGCGTTATTGGACTTCAAACAGAAGTGAAGGTTACACGCAAATGATATATCCATTGCATGGAGTAAGTAATTATCTTTGATATAACGAAACATATGAGTTAAAAAATAAATCGTAAGCGTTCTTAGTGTTTTTATGAAAAATAGCATGCTCCGTCACAGCCGACAAATCTTTCGATACCAGCCTGTGACTATATGTTTTCAAACTACTGTCATGAGAGATCCTATTCATTTTTAAGTTTTGTTCATGGTAAACTTTCTTTCTTGTTCTTGCTTCATATTAAAATTGAAATTAATAGTAGAAAGTCATCATAACATTTTATTTATCACATCATTTCTCTCCCAGCTGATTATCTATTTCCCTTGCTTGCTATTTTATCTTTACATTTCATTGATATCATACAATTACCCATTAGGTTATCAAATTCAACTAGAAAAAGATCAATTTTCTTTGTATTTAGATTGACCATTGACGTAGGTCCTGTCTGCTGATCTGCCTTAATTCCAGCCTAAGCCATCAATAATAGTTATTCTCGTTTTAGTTATCCCAAGGTATGATTCATTAGGGATATAGGCAAGCTATTATACCCTCATCAAATATATATTAGAGATAATCCCAAATGATAATTCATCTTTCTGATTTGTGCCTGAAGAATCCAAATTGTCAGCTTAAAGACAGGAAGTTGTGTAAATTAAACATCTCAAATTGATGGTGTTTTAGAGTAGATTGCAAATGTTACAGGTGTGGGATTTTGTATTAATTGATATAATACAGTTATATAAAGGTTTAGTTTTGCCAAACTATTGTCACACACATCTATTATTTAAGCCATAATTCACACCAGCGCATTCCTGTAAAGGAGTGGTATCGATATGGAGAACTTTTTGAACACACGTTTCTCTTACACCAGTCATGAAAAAAATCTAAAAATTTAACACATCGTCAATTTAATCAGGGCTTGCATTAACGGCGTCCCTTACATGTAAGTGACGCAAAAAAAAATTGTAGGACGGAAAAATAAAAAATATTTCCGTTTTTGGGACGGAAAAAAAATTGAGTCAAAACTTTGAACATTTTTTGAAAATCTTGAAAATCTCAATAGTTGATCATGTTTGACTTCTTTGAGGTGTATATTAAGATCAAAATATGTGAGATTTACAACTTTATTTTGAGTAAAAAAGAAAAAGAATGCAGAAAAACGAACTATTGTAATGGGCGATAATAGGTTATCAGTTTGCATGTGACATATTTTTCTCACTGAAAAGCTGATATAAAACCTTCAAAATGAGTTCAATTGTACAAATGATGCATACTTACCTAGGTGAAATAGTCTATTTGTGATTATATAACGTCAAAATGGTCTAATTTATGATATAAATCAGAGGATTCTGATCATGTAGAAAATGTAGTGATACACTAAATTACTGAGCGTCAGACAAATTCATACTAAAAAATGTTCTTATTTTTCAAGCAGTTGTTCAGTGCAAACTGCAAACAGCAAGTATAAAGATAATCACAGTATAATAGTACTTACTATAACAGGCTGGAGGTTACATAACAGAACATGTTTAAATCACAGGGCACGAATGGCAACATTTTGAAAACACATAAGACATGTAAGATCAAGTCATGCACATTCCAAAATAGCCCATTATAGCTAATTTAGCTTATATATTGGAGGACACACTTTTTTCAGTCGGGACTCACTTTTTAAAATTTTTTCCTTCATTGGGACTCACATTTTTCAGAGCCTAATGCAAGCGCTGATTTAATGGTCATCTTTTGAATGGTAACAATATAATTTGAAAAATATATATATACTTTCATCTATATTGTTTTAGAAAACACATCAAACACTTGTTTTGTTCTTCATGTTTCCAGAGTGAAATGAAACATCTTTCCGAACCTCATTGGAACAAAACGACATAAACACAACATGTTTAGGTCTCTCAACATTGTAATTGTACAAAGGAAATTTTGGTTGATTTTAAAAATTCCTTTGTATAACTATAATATCGAGAGGTCTAAAAACATGTTGTATATGTTATTTTGTTCCAACAAGGTTCGGAAAGACATTTTATTTCATTCTCAAGAATTTGTAGAAAGAAGCAAAAACAATTGCACTAAAAAACAAAAAATGTTAACAAAAACAGTTATATAAAATATTTCTAAATAATTTTCACATTAAATTGTTGTTAATCAGTCAACGTTACATAAAATACCGTGTTTTTTACAGAATGTTTTCGATGATTGGTTTAAGAGAAAAACATTGTTGAATTCAGTTCTCCATATCGATACCACTCCTTTGGTTGAAAATTAGTGAGATATTAATTCATTGTAAAGAAAAGTAAGCAAGCTCATGGTTCAGAAATGTTTTAAACACATTCTTTATTCTATTTCTTGTTTCAGTATAAGTTTGAACATGTGTTCTCTTGAAAGCCCATGGTTTGAATCATTAACTGCATCTTAACAAGATCAACTCCCTCTCAGAGATGTACTCAGATTAGAAAACTGTTAGGATATACATTTGACTATATATATTTTATTGTAATTTGAAAAGTATTTTGCACGATTATCCTCAAATATCAACTAAAATAATTGGTTTTATGAGAATTCAATGTTGTTATTTTAGATTGTTGAACAACTTGGCCGTGCCATATATGATGCTTTAGATCATGGTCTAGGAGAGAATGAAGAACGGAAATTAAGCAGAAGTCTTGAAGATCTCATTTTCAAAATGACACAGCATGATATAGATGGTGCTGACGAAGGAATCGAAGAGGATCATAGGATATCTCTCGCTCAAGTTATACAGGTATATGTACAATCTGCTCAAGTTATACACATATAATATAATCTGACATACCAGGGCGTTCAATAAGCTCACGGTAAAATGCTCTCATTTTAGTGTTTTGAGTTTTTCGTGACATTTCACATAACATCCAAAAAATATCTGGTTTAATATTGATTCCCTGAATATCAGCATATGTAATGTGATTGGTCAAAACAATGGTTACTATAACATAACATTTGGTTAGGCAGGGCACTTTTACATCAAATAGAGAAATGCAATTAAGTCGGCAAAGCTATGAGTGAATCACATGCAGATCACAATGTGACATGCATTTCCTTTTTATCTGCTTTTTATGTATACATGCTATTACCCCTCATAAACACATGTATTATCCCATGAGTTGTTCAAAGTACACTCCCTGCCTTGTGTTCAATGCAGTCACTGGTGTTCAACTCATTGGTGGTACTGTGTTCTGAAGTCATCAGGGAAACTTTTGAAGGGCCATTTGGACTGCTTTTGAAAGTTTTTGCATTGTTCCAAACCGTACATGCCTCAACTCATCCTTCATCCTGTTCAAAACAGCAAAGTCAAGGATTGCCTCATCATAATGCATAGCATCTTATTCCAAATCTGATTCATTGTTTTCTGTTTGTTCTGACCTGTAAGGACAAAGAGTCTAAAGCAGGTCTGATCTGTGAAAGCTTCTTCTCTCAGGTGTGACTTTGTTGATGTTATGTGAACATTTCATGGAAAATATTAAAAACCTTTGAAATGAGAGACCTTTTCTATAAACTTATTGAACTATCTGGTAAATGAGATGAGGCAAATGGGTATATGTCTGTTTTACCATTTTTGATCATTGTACACCAATAAATAACAATTCTGCTTCACAGCAATATCTTTAGGGATCACTTCAGGGAAACCTTCTCCTTCTATTATATTATATCAGATCTTAGATTTTTTGTCTAATAAAACTAACCAGGGGCTGACCACCTGTTACTTGATTGAACCTTACGTTTTGTTTAACCGCAGTGTTAATTACCCTGAGTTTAGTTCTAAACTAACTTCTGAATAGGTTAGACAATATACACTTTATAAACTTTGCCCCTATTGCTTGCTGCTGTCAAGTGAGTTATAAATCAATACAAACTCACCGCACTGAAATTTTCTCAATCAATCAGTGAGCAGAATTCGAAAGAAAAATGTTTCATTATTGGTTAGTTCTGAGTCAATGATGATGTCAGAGGAAATGACCATGTTTAGAAAATTATGTCTCTGGCGACAACAAGCTGCAGTTTGTTTGGTTAGTTCAGAGGTTTCTCTTAAATCCAATGAGTGTAGTTGAATCTTATAAGAAACTTAAATTCGAATAGGGTAAGGGTTAATAAACCTTATTTTTGAATGTATCATTTAATTACATTTTCAAATTGGTCACCTTATATTGCACCATATAGCTCTTTATATTGCACCTTGTAGCTCTTTATATTGCACCTTATAGCTCTTTATATTGCACCTTATAGCTCTTTATATTGCACCTTATAGCTCTTTATATTACACCTTGTAGCTCTTTATATTGCACCTTATAGCTCTTTATATTGCACCTTGTAGCTCTTTATATTGCACCTTATAGCTCTTTATATTGCACCTTATAGCTCCCTATTCATCAGCTGTAGAGGATGTGCAGATGTGATTTGCAACTGTAAATGAGGGTTGTCATCATTTTGTCCTTCAAGTTTTTATTTCTTCCTCAAATGTAAAGACCTAATGCAATAGATATGAATCCTGCATAGACAAAATCTACTCAATATAAACCCTAATTAAGAGAATGTTGAACCTTGATAAGCTACAATGTATACTATAAATAATGTCTATAGTTAATTCATTTTTTGAAATTCTATATATTCTAAGCTATCAAAATTATGCACAAATTCTGGCTAATGCAATCCTGCTGCTGTAAATCAGTCACTGATTGCCATAGGGAATTTAGAATGATTATGGTATATGTGCAGTCTAGAATATAATGAAAAATTATAAATATTAAAGATATTACATTTGGAGAGGAAACAGCAAACATTCATCATTATTCCAAATAGTAAAGGATATGATATATATATCTTGAGTCAAATATAAATGTTTGAACTTGAAAAAACAAGCAAAAGGTTACCAGCATTGCCATATCATCTTGAAAGAATATAAATCTACGTATTTTGGAGGTCGATACTAATTGTATTATTATGGTTAGATGATGAATGTTTATTTAATAGATACAGAAGCAATTATGTATTCGTGCCAGTGCATTTAAAGTAAGATCTGAGTGAGCAATTTATCCAAAATATTGTTTTAGTTTTTGTTTCATTTTGTCTCATATCATTCTTGTAATTTTAATTTCCAAAAACAACATATTTTATTCCAGGAAAACTGAGTTTTACTCAATAAATTAAATGTAATTAAAGCTACCATGAGATCATCGCAATATTAATGTCAGCTGTGTTGATCATGGTTGATCCAACCATTTTGTCCTTAATTATTTAAAATCTCAAAAGGATTCACAGCTTCTTATCAATTAAATGATGAGCAATTCATCATTAATTTTTAATTATTAAATTATTTGTGTAGAAATCTGTAGAAATTGAATTCACAATTTTATGTATGTGTCCTCATTCTTCGAGGTTTATTATCCATATCCTTGCTTAATTATGCTACTTTAAGATGCAATTGGAAACAATTACTAGAATAAGTGACAGCTTCCTGCTCTGTTCACAATCATCCTCTTCCATATATTATAATGGGATCTAATTAACTATACACAGTCTAAAAAACAATTTAATAATTGACCCATGTTAATGTTAACCCTGGCTTGCCCCGTGACCTCACTTAGCTTTAAACCTCAGTTAACTATCAGTTTTCTGCCATTACCCCCCAGGTTAGCCATCAAGTATTTGCCCACCCCTTATCCCCAGGATATCCATCAAGTCTTTGCCCTCATCCCCAGGATATCCATCAAGTCTTTGCCCTACCCTCAGGTTAGCCATCAAGTATTTGCCCTTACCCCCAGGTTAGCCATCAAGTATTTGCCCTTATCCCCAGGATATCCATCAAGTCTTTGCCCTACCCTCAGGTTAGCCATCAAGTGTTTGCCCTTACCCCCAGGTTAGCCATCAAGTATTTGCCCTTACCCCCTGCTTAGCCATCAAGTATTTGCCTATCCCCGGGTTAGCCATCAAGTATTTGCCCTTATCCCCAGGATATCCATCAAGTCTTTGCCCTACCCTCAGCTTAGCCATCAAGTATTTGCCCTTACCCCCAGGTTATCCATCAAGCTCAAGAATAGCAGGCCTACTTGAGCCACCAAATCTCATGGCCTGATCCCCATGTCAGCCATCAAGTCTCTTCATTTTTCCAAGGTGTAAGTGAATGGATGGCCATAAAACAAAACATTAAAACATTCAAGTTAAGCACATGTATAAGACTTTGTGTAATATTCTATATATGACACTCTACTGGCTATTTAGGGCAATTCTCGTAGTCAAATAACTCATCATATTTTCTGGTGTTCCTTCTCTTCTTGTAAATTATAGTTCAGAGATGATTGTTCACATTAATTTGTTTGAGAGGACCTTATATTTGCAGTATTATAATGGAAGAGGGAGGAACGAATGCAATTGCTCATTCATATTCTTCATATAATTATCACTGCATGATCTGAATATGATTTAGAAATCCACTTTGTGTTATGCATCTACAGGGCAAGCCAAAGATAGCCACTCTTTGATGAACAAAATATGCAATTACACTGTATTGATAACTCAAAAACCTGTTGTCAGATTTGCTTTAAATTTATGGGATGATGCCTTATTTGGAAAAATAGAACCATTACTGAAGAAGGAATTTTATAAAGGAAAAGCCAACATTTTTTAAAGTGGAGGATTTCAAATATGTTCACTCAATTTGAAAAAGTTCTTTCTTTTTGCGAAAATTTAGTTTTTGCTTTAAGCAACTAAGATGCATAACTTTTTTCTCTCAAACTACCATTTTAAAAAGAATCTATTTTTTGCATTTGTTCAAACTGGATTTATCCAAGGGCCTTATTTATTTATTTATTTATTTATTGATTTAAATGTTTTTTTATTTTGTTAACCCCTTGACCTTTTTCATATTGTATTTGTATTATCTTACTCTACCCTTCTATAATGCCATTGGGCGATTGAAGGGATATGCAATGTAATATCTTGTAATGAAATAAATATATCTTAATAATAATAAAAAAATTAAATGTTTTATTTGAAATGAGCTTTAGGCATATAGAACAATTTCTCATTAAAAACCAGAACTACACTTAAGCATGACATCAATGAGCACACGGGGCCCAATTTGACAGATCCATTGATTTTAAAACATTGATTTGAACTCTTAACAGTTATTTATTTTTTATAATGGTTATTGCAAGAACTCTATATTGTACTTAAAATGCAGAAAACCACATTTTCATAGCTCCAGGTTTCATACAAACTTTAAATACTATTTGATGGATTAGGCATATTCTAAAAGATTAAACTGTTTAGTTTTTTCTAGTTCACTCTGTCTTGTTATGTACTTCATTTAGTTTTAAATCATGACCACTGTGACTCAGTCTATACAGAAATACTTGTACTAATTGGTTAGCCATTATGATCAAAGTTAGTGCATGGTAAATAGCAGATATGTAGGAAATGATACTTTCAAGTATAGCCTCAAATTGAAATAACTGGTACGATCGATATCAAATGAATTCATATAATAAGCCTGCATATAACATGCAATCTTGGTGGCTGGATAAGTTCACATTCTATATACATTGTATATTGTTCTATTGGTTTTTGGCTCCCTGTGGGAATAAACCATTGATTTTATTGAGAATCTGTAGCCTTCCATGTTGTATAATAGGGTTCGCCCCATTGGTCCGAATTCCAATTGCTCAATTCCCATCCATCCGAATCTCAATGGTCTGAATCCCATTGGTCTGAATTCTAATCGTCTGAATCCCAATCATTCAATTTCCATTAATAAGGAACAACTGCTTTTTGAATAATCAACAAATTCACTTAGATGTGATTCTGTTGTTTTTTTAGAAAATATGTTTAGGGTTACAAGATCCTTTGATCCATGTAAATCTATGTTTTAAGAAACATCTTTATGGCCATTCTTTCTTTTTTTTAATTGGATCAACTGGGTGTAACATAGGAAATAACCATTTAGTTTTGGACATTTTTTGTCATATTACCTTGTAAATGAGAATTAGTAAAGTTCTTGAGAGAACACTATACTGAATTAAAATCAGTGATACACATCATTTTATTTTACAGGCTTGTGAGGAGCACTTAGGGTCCCACCAGGATGCAAAGTCCCACTATAAAGCAGTTTGCCGTGCTCTCGTCACAGAGGCTCTTGAACTTACAAGTTTTCTTGAAAAAATTACAAAAGAACAAAAGGTAAACAAATTGTAACATATACATTTAGTACATTATATTTTTATAGTTTCATTGTGAAATTGTTATCGATCAGATTAATGGGGGTATTTTAAGAACTTCTAATTTCTTTGATTATTATTCTTGTAAAATTTCTTTTGTGATGAAACACTTTCCCTTGATCATTTTCAGCCATAGACTGTAGTTATACATGGTGACACAAAAAATGACACCCACCTTACCTTGCATAACTTGTTTGTCTATTAACATATAGACTTGTCCTCTTGGCACATTTAAAGTATACATAATGCGAAAGCACCTGCAGAAATTTCAGATGATGTGTAGCTCAAGTAAGTCAAATTTTATGAGCATTACAACATTTGCTCTACAGGGTGTCTGGAAGGTAAAGATACAAATAATCTAATTTTAAGAGATTTTGATTTTTTGTAATAAAATTGCTACAGATTGTAGAGGAACTTTATGACAATATATCTACCAACTTTCATCTCATAACATCTAAATGTAAAAGTTATGGTTGTCATTGTTACAGTGGTCAGGGGTATGTGGAGCAACTCCATGATATCGCTAAAATGTGATAAATTGCTAAAATATAACCATTTGAAACAGTGTTTATTATTGTATTTTCTATCAATGTTTTGTTTTGTTCAATATTGTATTCTTGCTGTCATAGTATTCTTTTAAGTATAAAGATATCATTGATACATATCAGAACTATGTAGTGTCACTTATTATTATAATCATAGAAAAAAATATAAGTGCTTAGAGAAAAAAGGTCCCTGGATTAAAAGGAAAGTCAATAGTGAACCTCCAAAATGCACGGACTCACAAAGCAAAGAAAAGAAATCTTACAATTGAATTTCTTGACATTAAAGCTTTTTGTACAATGACCCATATTCCCCTGTTAGACCCACGTTAGACTTCTACATTGCATGAATATCTGAAAGTAATGTTTGTTACAAGTTCAACATAAAAATGAGACTCGGCTTGAAGCCAATGTTATCAGTAATCTGAAAGGTGGACGGACAGCAGCCAATTTTGTCAGGTCTTTGAATCTCTGGTCAAGATGCATCTCAAAGTTTTAGATAATGGTGGGAAATACATAATACTGGATAACAGTAGTAATGTCAAATGACCAAATAATGTTATAGCACTAATCCTTATGTTGCTGTGATATTAATGTGATGTAAAATAAGTACATATGATTGAGTTCCAAGATGATATGAGCAGGAAAAAGAATCATAAAACACAATTGTGACGCTGCTTCACATACCCCAAACTCCTGTTACCATAGCAACTATAACTTTTTCACTTTAAAACATTATATCTCATGACAGTTGCAGGATTGTTATAATGTCATTCTACAATCTGTATTAATTTCATTTCACAACAGGCAAATCTATTGAAATTAGAGCACTCTTATCTTTCCGGACACCTTGTAAATGTCGTCCATTCCTTTGCAGACACACATGGATTCTACACAAAAATGCCTCCCAGCTTTTGTAACATAACTTTGCAAATACTAATGATTTGGGCTTGTACTTGCAGGGAAATGAAGCCCATTCAATTAAACACAAAATAATCTAGTTGTCATTGATAAAATCATTATAACTTATTTCCAAAATTATGTTACAAAAGGTGGGTGTTATTTTTGTGTAAGATCCAGTTGTGCCAGCAAAGGAATAGACGACTGATTTTGTAATGCTCATAAATATGTGCATCTAAGTGAGCTAGTCATCTGAAACTTGTGGAGTTCCAAAATGGAGTGTAGTTTTAATGTGTGAAAAAACAAGTCAGAATCTTTTCAGACAAAAAAGTTATGAAACATTATATGGGTAGGTGTCTTTTTTGTATCACTCGGTACTTATACCAATGATAACAATTTTTCAAGATGACTCCCAGCATCTTTAGATGTACAGTATGAATTTGCAAAATATTTGTACTCTAGATCTTAAAGGCAGAACACAATGAAAGCACTGAAGGAGAACATTTCCTTGAGGACCTCCGACAATCTGATTGGGCGAGATTCTGGCTACAAGTAATGCGAGACCTCAGGTAAATCATGTTATCTTTGCCAAGAATTAATTTCATGTTTTCATGCTTTGTCCACTCAATTTCTCTCTTAGTTTCTTTCTTTATGACCTTAGTTGACTATATTATTGTAATCAGGTTTTTATTTACCATTCATTCCTTTCTTTCTAACCGTCAATACTAAATTTTTTACAGTTATTTTCTGTGAAGAATATAAGATAAATTCTGCATCCTGCATTCTTTAAATTGTTCTCATTAATTTGTCCATAATAAGCTCCATACATTGTAAAAATAATGGCACTGATGAAGTAATTGAGAACTCATTGTCAGTTTGTAATTGTAACCCAAATAATGTTTCTATTTTGAAGTTATTGTTTGACATCTCTTGTCCTTGGGATTCCTGGAAGACAGCTCTCATTTGATTCAATATGTCAGATGTATCTATTTCAAGAGTGGATTAACGCTTGTGTGGCCATCTTGAATTTAAGTTTGCCTTTTGAATTACTCAATATACATGTATCTTGCCATTAGATTCCATGAAATCCACTCATCATATTAAATTCTTTATCTAGCTGATAGGTGCTAACTATCTTTCAGTAAATAAATCAATCAATTTTATTTACATCAATTTAGGATAAAATATCTTACTGGTTGCCTTGTTCTTCAAGTGAAATATTTAACACTACTTGTATGTCTTGCAGAGACTGATTCCACTTTGCCATTTGATGAAACTCAGAAATCCAGTTTTGCTTATTGTTTTTATCGTACCTAAAAAGATATGACATTGTTGTCAGCTTGACGGGCAGGCAGGCTTCCAATATGGCCACCAAAATGCAAGATGGCAACATAAAACTTAATCAGCTCTACAACTTCTTACCATAACATGTGTGAAAATTTTAAGTAGATCTGTCCAATGGTTTTCCTGGAATCATGATGACAAGAAAGTGAGATGCCGCCCGCCCATCAAGCTGATGACAAAATTGTACCTAAAAAAGGATGGGCGGGCGGTGGCCAGCAGTCTCACAGTACAGTGTAATAATAGGGAGTTTAAGCTCACAATGTTTTTCACAACCTAATCATGAACGAAAAATATTTAAGCGATGCATTTGTATCTGCGATTGGTCATATAATAATAATAATATATAATACATATAGGTTGGCATTTTGATTTTATATACAAGCTTAAACTCCCCAACTGGATGTGGACAATGGCAGTGCACATAAGGTTAACATTAACAAATTATTGATCATTTGAAAATGGGATCTGTAATTTTACATCCCTCTATTTATAGTCTTGTGTGAAGCCTCATGTTTTGTGTTTTGCAGGCAAGGAGTCAAGCTGAAGTCAGTGGACAGTGACATGAGGATGAGGTCAGTGGAATATGAGTTGACACCATACGAGATGTTAATGGAAGACATCAGAGCACGACGCTATGAGCTACGTCAAGTCATGGTAGGTATGATCATATTATGTGTTAATGGAAGAAATCTTGATTTTGATTAAACTGTATTTAATTACCCAGATGCTAGTAGATAGTTACCAGTTTCACCACAAGGTGGCTGATTTGAGTTAATTAACATGGCAGGTATATAAGAAAATCCCTTAAACTTGAAAATTGTCAGTTTAAGGGGACTCATCTCTAACCTAGCCGAATTGGGGGTACCCTGAACCCCCTGTTTATGTTTCTTTTTTTTGAAGTATTTCATATATGCTTTCATTTAATGTAAAAAACACTGAATGTTAGCCATCAAAATATTTCCCTACATCGTCTGAAAAATGGGTGTGACGTTACGGAAAAAAAACGCCTCAATTTACCCGCTTCACTAGAATATGCTTGCTTTAAAAGCGACACGTTCTTATTTTATCGATGATTGATAGGAAAATCGTCACATGGCCACCAAGGTTGTTTTTAATTTACGGCATTTGATAAGCTGAAGACTTTTGATGCCAATTATTTCTTCATGGGTACTAATAAAGCATAGTAAGAACAGGTTAGATAAAGGGTTTTGATCAATCGGCAGTGCAATTGACGCCATATAAAATTGTAATTGTATTCCAATTTTCATAAACTTTGACATTTTTTGAGGAAAAAACTAAAACATTGACATATTGTTTTTATTGTTTCAAACAACAGTTCACGTACCCCTAAATAACATTTGAAAATATAAAAAGGTTCCACCGTCGATTTTTTCTGTTATTTATTTTCGGAATTTCGGCTTTTTTCATTATATTTTCAAGAATGTCATCGATTATCACCAACAAAAAATGTTTTTAGTGCGAAAAGGTATGATCTCAACATACGTGTTGCGAATTATTTTACAATCGTTTAAAATTATATAAATGCAATGCCTTTTATATTATCATAATAATGTAAATATCAAGAAAACTAAAATTAGGGTAAATAAAGAATCACAAGACCAACCTTTGAAAAGGATTGTGACCCCTCACCCAAGTTCGGCAATAAAAATTAGGCCATGTCGAACTTAAATTACCATAAACTTTGACATTCTTTGAGGAGAAAAATAAAACATTGACATATTGTTTTTATTGTTTTGAACAATAGTTCACGTACCCCTAAATAACATTTGAAAAGATAAAAAGGTTCCACCGTCGATTTTTTCTGTTATTTAGATTCAAAATTTCGGCTTTTTCTGATATTTTTCAAGAATTTCGTCAATTATCAAAAACAAACAAAAATTGTTCAGTGCGAAACGGTATGATCTTGCTGTACGTGTTATCAGATATGCGAATCATTTTACAATCGCTTAAAATGATATAAATGCAATGCCTTTTATTATCTGAATAGTTTGAATTCCAAGAAAATTCAAATGAGGGTAAATATATTAAAGCCTTATAAGACTAACATTTGTAAATGGTTCTTGACGCCATGTTGAATTTCAATCGCCTCTTTATTTCAATAAACTTTGATATTATTTGACGTAAAAAATCGATGGTGAAACCTTTTTTTTATTTTAGATGTTATTAAGAGGCACACCATTCGGTGGCTGTACCGTAGGCTAAAACGATTTTCTTATACACCAGTAATATATATGGGAATAATAACCATTTTGATTTCCAAGGTAATATTCAATGAAACCTATAAATTATAGCTCATACTAATGGCATTTAGCGAAAAAAGCAAGTTACATGCTAGTTTGTCTGTAAATCCTTTGCTTGCTTGTTAAACTGCTGGAATATAACGAACTAAGCTTGAACGAATACAAGAAAACAAAGCAAATACCCAAATTATGCAATTATTTGGGAAATCAGTGACGTATAGTTCATTTGTTTGTTTAATTGTTGATGGGGCAATGAGTCACTGACGTCACATATAATGGAAACAATTTTCCAAGAATTTGTGAGCAAGAGTGTTATATGACGTCATGATAAAACGATGCTTCAAGTGAGGAGCTCATAGTTGCTATGAGTTACTATGTCATAAAGTGTCACATACCGTCATTCAGCGTCATTAATATTTAATTATAGAACACTTGTCAAACGTGAAGTTAACAAACAAGCTTTTCCTGAAGATGTTTATTTTCTGTTCTGTAATAGGCAAGTATATCACCATTGTCGTAAGGGTTAGAGATGAGTCCCCTTAAGTGGATCAATTTTCATAAAACCCTTATGTGTCTGTTAATTATACAAACAAAAATATGTTCAGTAAAAGAAAATATTATCTGCCCAACACAAGAAAATATACTTCACATTTTGTGATTTTGTAACATGGGGTCTATGGGGAATCTCCCCGACCTAAAAGTCACATTTTCAAAGAAGATTAAATTTTCAAAGTTGGAAAATACTTTTTTAAACTACATTTATAGATGCAAGTCTACATGTAGACTTCAAATATGATATCCCTTTAACGAAATTTTGAATATTTAACGGAGTAAATCAAGATTATTTCTACTCGCATCTCGTACAGTGTTTATTGAAATGAGCAACACTATATAAACTATGCAATCTAATGCACAGTCCCATTAAATTATAACTACTTTGACTCACATAAATAGACAACTGAAGTTTGTTTTCTCTCTTACACTGTAGGCACCAGATGAGGGAGGGAGTTCTCAATGTGTAAAAGATGATGCCCATGCTGTCATTCTTGAATTCATCAGATCAAGGCCACCTCTTAAGGCAGTAAGTACTTCTAATCATTTACTCTATTTTTATCACAACATTGACTGCATGCTACATTTTGATCAGTTTACAAGGTTGGCATCTTGTCTGCATGTTTCCAGGGATATCATAATTTAGAACTGTCAGCATTTTTTTAATTGAAGATTTTTTACAGTATTTTGTGGAATACAAATCTAACTAGAATAATTTGGAAACACTGGATGCTTCTAATCTAAATTAATTTAAAACTGATGGTAGGTTGTTTGGAAATATACACCACTTTTTCCCATTCCCTTTAAGAATTTATTACCATCCATTTCAGACAGTTAGTAGAATTCACGTTTTCTTTATTGCAATTTTTACAAACAGTTCATTATTTACAGGGCCTAAGCTAGAGAATTAATAGTCCAGAAAGAATATGTACTGTACTACATGTATTTTGCACTATTCAAAGGTTTCCTTGAGACCCCATTGGGAATTCCAGGAAACGCATATTCCCTGTAATTGTAATTTTTACTATATTTGACCTTTGAATTAACAAAGCACATTATACTGTACATGTTACAGGCTGCAAAATATAGGTTAATTATAAGAATGAAAAGATCAAAGGGAACAGGGAGACACTCACACAGGTAAACAAAAATTGATGAACTTTTAAACCAAGTCTTAATTGCTTTAAAAATAGAATTCAGGAAACCAGCTGTTAATTCTTCAACTTTCTTGTTTGTAAAGAAGTCTTCTTTAGGATCAACATATATTATTTGCACATGTTTGACTTAGTTTCTTAAAAGATATCTTCATCTTATCTCTTAAGAGATTTCCACTGAACTCACCAAGTTAACCAGAGTTCTCATCACAAAGAAGGATGATTTTCTGGATATATTAAAATATTAGTTTGTGGGGGATATAGGAAAGCTGTCTGTCCGTCCGTCCATCTGTCTGTACGTTAGTTCATTTGCCTTTCCAGGGGATAATAGCTCAAATACCAGTTGATGGATTTGATTTAAATTTTATATACTCATGCCTTATGAGTGTAGGACCTCTGCTCAAGAAGGAATTTGCAATATGGCCGCTTAATTCAAAATGGCCACCATTTTTCATAAAAAAGTAATCTTTGATAACTGAAATACCAGTGAAAGGATTTGGTTATAAGCTGATGCCTAATGACAAAGAAGCTCTGTTTGAGAAAGAATTTTCAAGATGGTGGCTGAATTTCAAAATGGCCACCATTTTTTTAAAAGAACGTAATCTTTGATAGCTCAAACGCCAATTGATGGATTTGGTTCAAATTTTATATGTTGGTGCCAAGGGCCAGAGGAGCTCTGCTAAAGAAGACATTTTCAAGATGTCCACAGAATATCAAAATGGCTGCCATTTTTCGTAAAAAATGTTATCTTTAAGAAATCAAATACCAGTAGTTGGAGCTGATGCTTAGAGATGGGAGGAAGAGAAGGAGCTCAAGAATATATTCTCGAGATGGCCACTATTTATCAAAATGGCTGCCATTTGTTGTTAAAAATGTGTTCTTTAATAACTCAAATACCAGTTGACAGATTTGGTTCAAATTTTATATGCTGCTAGGAAGGAGCTCTGCTCAAGAAGAAATTTTCAAGGTGGCCACTCACTATTTATCAAAATATGTTTTGTTTGGAAGGATTTGCTACTCCTTGGAGTTGCTGTTTTTCTAGTTGTAACATGTTTCTCTCTGCTTGCTTATTGGTTGAGGAAATGTCATGTTATCATGAATTAGTGTTTCATCAACTTCAGTTAGAGTCATTCTAAGTGAAGCTGTTTTCTTTAAAATTCACTATTAATGCGGGTGTCTGAGCATTTTTTACTGGCTGTTTACAGTTTGCATGAAAACTTTTGGAATCCAGATTTAGTTTAGCTGAAATTGTTGGTTTATCAAAAACAAAAGAATTTTGGCCACCATCTTGAATGATACTAATTACAGTTAGAGTCATCCAGCTTAAAAGAGTTTAAGTATGGCAGTCCCTCTATGTGAAAGGTTCAGCTGTAAAGAGAGTAATAGGTGTTTGGTTGATTTTGTCAGTCACATTTTTCGCCTAGCAATTGAAATATTTTGAAATTGTATGTGAAAAAGTGTCGCCTAAAAATAAGATAATATACATACATTTCATCTATATGTTGTAAATTAATTTATGTTCCCATTTATTGAAATGAACTTATATCATATAACTTTGTGTAAGACAAGAAATGTCTGCATTTTTAAGAAGAGTTAAATATAGCTAAGAGAACACCTGGTTCATATGGCTGCTGAGTTTACATGTGTGTTAATGTAGTACATCCTAGATGCAATAAACTGGGCTCAGGTAACATACTACAGGATACAACATTCAAGGGAAAACACACTGGCCTGAGCTATTTTGGAAGATGAATTAGGACTTTTTATGTAGTAGGATAAGCAGTAGGACTGTGAAGTGATGCCTTTAAGGAGCAAAATATATTTGGAAAATACACAAAGCATGAAGCTACAGAGCTTAATGTGAATCTACATATAATAGATAAGCTGTGTGCTATATTGCAGGAGCAAGTGTGGAAGTGTTTATAAATATAAATTAATGATACATCTTGTAGGTTGTATGCAGCTGATTCACCTGTGTGCTTTATGCTACTGTGCCTAAGATATCAATTTCTACACTCTTATCTCATAGTAGGGAGTGAACTTTGATAGAATCAGATATAATAAGAAAGAAACCTTTAAAGCTCAAAATATGGTAGTCATTTTGTAAAATGGCAAAAAGCTTTTTGAGAATATCATAAATGTTTAGGTACCATCTATACATGTACTTACAACCTATAACTCTTCAAATATCATAATATCTGGGCATTATCTTTATCATGTCACAAGTGGTGACATATTGCTATAGTCTCCAACTTTTTATGGATGGTGTTCGGCATATGGTGGTTGGTATTTGGCAGTTGATGTCTGTAACAAATGGCAGGTGGGACATTTTGCTATTTTTGCCTTGTACATGAATTGTCTTGGGTAAAATAAACTTATTGAAATATGCTTGGGATATATTTTGAATTTCTTTATGCCCCATAGCTCTATTACGGCAAATGTTGAGTAATCTTGGTAAGATCTGATATTTTCAAGAGAATTCTTTTAGAATACCAGATGGGTCATATTATTGGTTTTTCTGTCCTAATATCAGGCCTCATAAATGGGCTTATAAAGATAGGGTTCGTGCTTAAATTGATTTATACCAGAACTTATTAGATAAGTCAGACTAAAATATTGCAACCACTGACCGCCCTTATACTGGTTAGATCTTGCAAAGAAGAAAATTGGTTGCACTTTGGGGAAATATACCCTGACTATGAAGATAAAATTTTTATTGTTATTGGTATTTATTTGTTTTCTATAATTCTGTTATTTTTGTTATTTGTTAACATGTGTTATTCAACTGGCCTTACTTTAAATTTCTTTTAAGGGAATTATTTAATAGAATCAGATAGATATAATAATATTATTAAATTCAATATCACTGATGAAGAGCAGAGTAAACTGAGATATGTTGAATAAGGGGAGGCATCAAAAGTTCGATGTCGGATAGAAAACTAAATAAATCTAGTTAGGGGGGGAGGGGGTTCAAACCCATTTCAGTTTGCTATCCGACAAATTTCAACATTTCAAATTTTGGGCAATTTCAACTCAGAATGCTTTGGAATGGTTTAAAAATAAAGATTTTACCTGATGCTTTCTTCGTCAAGATCATTCCAATGGATTCTATTCTATCAATAGTTGTTAAAAGCCGCAAATTACAATAGGAATTAACAAAAACTAGATCATGTTTAGCAATAATTTTTCAAATTCTCAAACCGAAGTAAGCGATCAACTTTCACGGTATTTAGTTTTGGGGGGAGGGGGGGGGGTCTGAGTCAAAACTAGATTTATTTAGTTTCCGATCCGACATCGAACTTTTGATGCCTCCCCTAAGTACAATGAATGAGTCATGTACAATGAATGAGTCATTCCACATGAACATATATGGAGAGGGAATTAAAGTCTTTAACTCTTCAAATCATATGTTTAGAGTAATCACATATGTTAACACTTATGCCATTGGTTTTGACTTTGCTCAATGTGTTACTTAAAAGGCCTGTCACCAAGATAGAAAAATCTACTTCAAATTGTAAGAGACAAAAAAGTTATTTGAGTAAAAAGTAACTTTGAGTAAGTGAGCATAGCAGGTTGAAGTGCAAATGAATTTTTAATTATTCCCTTATAGTTTATTTTCCCCCTTGAGCATGCATGATATCATCATAAAGTATCCCCCAAACAACTCCAAAGCATAATCTTCATTTCTGTAGGGTAAGGTCATAATTTTAACTAACCATATATTTTATATTCCATACTGATGTAAACAAATCACATTATATATGGTGAGCTCTATTTTTGCAAGGTGCTATTCCATGCAGATTCTACTTTCCCACTCTGTCAGGATATTTTTACTTACAAGCTAAACTTTGTATTTATAATCACCATTTGAGTTAAGAGATGGAAATAGTCTACCAAACACAAAGGATTAAATGAGGAAAATACAAAAAGGAGGAACAAATTACTATTGCAGAAATTACCAATAGGTTTCAGGCCCTTTAAGTGGGTTATATATTGGATTGGTTGGTGAGGATCATAAAAGTTGATGCAGTAAGAGCTTGGAGTCTCATAACATAAACACAACTTCTTATAAACTGGTGTGGAAATAGTTCAGACTGGTGGAACCAAACATTCATTCACTTTAGAAGGATCAACTGGGATAATCAAATTAAAATAGAGATTTGAAGCAAAATCTAAAGAACTCAATCCTACAAATAATAACATTAAGCTGATATCAGGATAACAATTAGAGAAGTATATACAGTATACATACTTTAGCTTTAGGAGCTAACTTCCAACTATATAAGATGAAGGATATTAATATGACAAGTCTAAGAGACTCATTGAATGTTGGAAAGGATTATGAGCATCAGGTAAGTTAGATATATCTGGATAT